CTTCCTTCCATGGGCTGATTAGAAGAACATCACCATCCAGTGTAGTTTCACGGGCTGTAACCCTAATATTAATAAAACTACTACCCCTGGGCTATTTCCGAAAACTACAGACTTTAAACCTTAGGACTTGACCATGTGTGCACCCACGAGACAGCCCTGCCGCTGCTGAGTACTAACATTTTGACAGGAAAGTCTCAGTCGCCTCTCGAGACTGGAAACTTTTTCGAGATTTACCTAATATTTTCAGGGAAGTACACACTCTGCGAGACTTCCATGGTGGGGACACATTAGAAAGTCGCCACCACCATCTGAGTCGCGTGCTGCTGGCGTGGACGGCTTTGGCTTGTTCTAGGTCGTTGGTTGGTTAGTTGGAGCCCAAGAAACACGCGAAGATTCGGGAACCAGTTCGCTTCTACACATCCTGGTTACACCCTGTTTCGCGCCACACTCACATTCGATGTATTGACATGCCGCTTATTCTGACATCAACGCGTCCAAAACGGTCCCAGAACATAGCATATAAGCAAAATTTGCCGCAATAAACCGTACGCGATAGCTTTTTTTCTTTCATAAACCGTTGTGTATCGTTCTCCTGGACCGCCACCTACCTGGGGTTTGGTTGTAAGCACCAGCCCGCAAAATCCAAGCACACGTTCGCACTGTAGCCGGGGCTCCCGATTGTCCGAACGTTGAGAAACAGGGTGTACCAAAAGTTTCGAGTCGCGCTCGAAAAAAGCGACTTGGAGGGGTTCCGCCAACAGAGTTTGGGGCAGGATTACTGTTCTGTACAAATATTATGTCCCTTCGCCCAAGAGCAGGCAGGATCCATGTTCGCGTAGACCCTGAAAGCTGTCAGGGACATACCAAGGGCTTATCCTATTGTTATACCCTTGAAAACGACAAACTTCATCAGCTACGTTCCTTTACGAAGTAAAAAAACGAGAGTTCCTTCGATATGTTTTCCACCTCCCAAGTCCTTCCAGGGCGGCTAGTTGGTCATTGCCTTCGCTTCTCGTTCCTTCTGGATGCGCCACTCCACGTTGGTCATGATGATCATGTTGTTGCGTAATGATTGCAACTAGCTTGCCCCAACGTTCTCTCTGTTTCTCTGGAATACAGTCCGGAGAATCAGGTGTCGTCCGTGAGAAACTCAGGATTCAAGAGGACAGAAAGGATCCAAGTACAATATGCCACGGCAAGAACCACAATATGCGTGCTTCGAATCGAAGGCTAAAGCAGCCAGCCAATCTTGGACGAGTTTCTGATTTTGACGCAACAGTAAAAGAACCAGCACGCTGGCCGAACAGAAACCACACATGAGGATTCATGTCATGCCGCTACACAACTGGGCAGAAAATTCCGTACCCCCAATTTCGTGATAGAATAGCCTCTGGTGTAAGAACTTGCGCGGTTTGTAGCACCTCAACGTACTCATGAAGGTCCTATCACATATACTATGGTCACATTCGTACGAATTTTGTTTGGCGAGTTGAATTACGTTATCAAAAGGTATGGCATGTACAAATGGTTCATAAGGGTATCCAACGTTGATTTAAAATATCAGGCATCGGTACTAGTATGAGATCGTGGTGCGTCTCTGCCCGCAACTTTCAACGTTCAATTTATAGGGGGTTACAACTGTCGTTTTTTGTTTGCTAAAGATTGCGTAGCTAAGATCTATCATGGGTGGTCAACCAATATATTTATCGGACACATCACGATCCTTGTTGGTGTATTATCAACAAATTTGCACTAGTGACCCACTACGATTAGGCGACGTTGCCAGCAACTACGAGACGCCGCGAGCGTTCAAATCCGCATTGACCATATTGACCATATTATACATCGAGACGCACCGGCCTCGTTGGTTCAATTTCCATGATCAAAACGTGTTGATTAGTTGCAGTAGTGTTACAGACGTTCAATTCAATAGCAATAGTCTAGTTTTTTATTCAACCAGGATTGCATTGTGTGTGGTACAGAGATGTAGAGATCAACAAGAGATTGACATTCACCATGATCTTAGAAAAAACTCCAAGATTGGGTAGCATCGAGTAATCATGATTTTGACCATCCTTGGTTGGTACATCACCTGGTACACTAACTACTGTACAGGGGTAAGTAGGACACTGTTAAACCAAAGTGTACTACTCTCTTATGTAACCAGCGTGTTAAATCAAAGCACTGTAGCTAGTGTTTTGCGCTGATAAGAAGGTTAAGAAAGTGGGGGTAGTGATTGCGGTGAAGAGGGGTTTACGTTCATGTTTAATAACGAAGTCCGGCTAGATGGCTGCCATGTTTTCCAAATTACACTGTCTTCGTAAGTTGTCTGATTTTTCAAGCCCCTAGAAATCACAACGAATGAACAGGTGTACCGGCTCAACAAACAATGAAAAAGTCGAAGGGTCCAAATCAGAATAGGTAATGTACAGTCTGAACCACACCTGAAGTAGCTAGTCAAACTTCACATAGATTTTGTTTTTTTTTCCCTGAAGAGTACCGGTAACGTTTACAGCCTCGTTCAAGGTTTTAGGAAGTAGAACATTAAAACTGAAGTTTGTGTAGCACTGCACATACTTACGTATGACCCTCACCTTACACGAGTGGACCTGCAATCCAGACAATTTGGATGTCAGCCCCTCCAGACCAGCAGAAGAAGGTCTTGCATTACTCGAAAACATTTCCAGTCGGAGAGTGTCTGGTTCTGTTTTGCAGGAAGGACCTCCTTCCGCGCCGCAGCCACAGCTCATGGGCCGGATTTTCCGTTCCGATTCTCTTCCGTCACTACTCGAGTAGGGGGAGGAGTCTGAGAAATGCCCTCCGTGTAGTATGGAAATCGTCCAACCGCGATACAGATACCCAGGGATATTTGCCCTCTTGGTGTGAAAAATACATCAAACCGCTCTAAGTGGGCCAAATCCTTGTTGTTCTACCCTTGTCGTTGGGAGTCTACTTAGGACATGTTACGGTTTGCCTCTGATCGGCAGTGATCTGTTCGGGGATGATCTGATCGGGTTGCCCCAGATTGGAAATCTCGCCAATCAGGAGGATATTCCTCGAATATTATAGGAGGTTGCATGGCAAGCGTATCACCCTTTCCTAACAGTTTCGGGGTCACTTTGGCGAGGGCGAAGGCATCGTATGGATCTAGCGAAGTTGTTGGTTTTCTGTAATTTCGTGAGAACAGGTGTACAGAAAGGTCTTTCCGTGGTGGTTGTTTGAGCGAGAACCTTACGAAAACCAGCACATCTTTGTAACTTCTCGCTGGCGTCGCTTGGTACCCCAATCCAACGCAATCAACTGATCGTCGGTGATTGTGTGGAATTGCGTTTGATTGGGCTGTTTTAGGCGGTTGATCGAGTTGGGGCGATCAGCTGATCGCGATCACGTGATTGCCCCCGATTGCCTGAAATCGCCTCCGTAGCTTCCTGGAAGTTATTGATCTCATCTGATCGGGGCAATCAGAGGCAAACCGTAACACGTCCTTAGAGATTGCTGAAAGGCTTGGCCCGAAATTCGGGCGAAGAATTTTCCTCCGACCCGCAACCCTTCCGCTGATGTACACCAGGAAGTGCTGCAAGTTGAAATTGAAGATGCAGACAGGGTGGTTGGTGGCATCCTTGAATAGTGCACAGTACTTCTACCCTAGAGGCTGTCTTTGGTCAAAGCGCGCCCACAAATGGATTCTGTACACGCCCACAAGAATACGTTTATAGTGTAACGTCTTTCATGTTTTGTTTTATATTGACATATGTCATCCATTCTAGACCAATATGTTCCAACTTGACCTATCATGGCATGGAAGAATACCAAACGATGCTATTCAGCCCCCCTGGAAAAAAACACAGGTTGCATCACTACCTATGGTCGATATTCACAGGTCATATTTTCCATGTTTTGTGCTTCATGTCAAGTACAGTTAATCCACCCTTATAACGAACCGGGACAGGTGATCAAACACATCATTCAGGTGAACAACCTTCTTTCACGCATCTCCAAACTGTCAACCACCTCATTAGAGTGACTGCAATTGCACCACTCACAGGCCGGCCCCCTCGGGGAAATTCGGTTTGCCTCCCATTTCAGGAAAGGCAAGCAGCTTGTCGCTGTGTACTGAGAACATCTGAGTCTCAAAGAATAGCTGGGTGGGAGTGAGCAGTGTGTAGGGAAGAACAGGTGCGTGCATCAAGATAGGGATCCTTAAAAAAATGCTAAAAGAGAAACAACAGAAACTATTGAAAAAGGTATAACCAGCACCCGAAAAATGCTGTGTAGAAGGGTCTCTTGTATGGCAACCACGACATGTCATATTAGCCGTCGAGCAGCAATAGGGTCATGACATGACATCGGGGCCTGGGAGCGCACCTTGAAAAAAGGTTGACTTTTTTGTGAGAAGGAGTTGACAAACGCTTCTTTCAGCAGAACGGGCACCTGTTGTTCAAAGGAGTGGTTGAGAAGACGCATGGGTGAAGAGTGGTTCCACGGGTAGAGAGGGGATACAGGGGTAGTGAGTGGGTTGAGAGGTGGTTGGGAGTGCAGCGGTAGTGAGGCGGGAAAGAAGTTTCTGGGGTGTTTAGGCTCGTGGACAATCAAACCGCGAACATTGCAAGACAGAGAAGCATTTGCGCTGGCAGCTGGGAAAAACGACAAGCAGTCTCATTTGCAGCAAGAAGCGCCAAATGCATTGCAGCAAGAAGCGCCAAATGCATTGCAGCGCTCCCAAGCCAGGAGGAAGAAACCACAGGTGGGTGGGTGGGTGCGTGGGTGGTTGCATGGGTGAGTGGTTGGGTGGAAGGGTGGCGACTGAATGATGGACAAGCAACACAACAGTGAGTTTTGTGTGGTGGCGCATGAGGAAGACTCACTCTCTCCCCCGTGGTACCAATGGCAGTGACTGTGTAGCCGCGGATGGAAGCACAGAAGGAGTGGAAATACGCCAAAAGACTCGTCTGGAAGTGCTCTGCCGCCCGGGCCTGGGTCCGAGGGAGAATCAGCAGGGATTAAGGACGGGGAGCGTACTTGTGGAGTAAGGGAGTGGGGAGAGAAGAGAAAGAGTTGTTGCATGTGTTGTAGTGGTGCGTAACGGTTCTAAAGTGGTGCCCACCGGTTCTAGAGTGGTGCCTTTCGGTTCCAGAGTGGTGCCTACCTGTTCCGGAGTGGTGCGAAAGACGAGTCGGGTGGCGGCATCGGCATCCCCTGCCATGGCAGCATGGTGGGGCAGCAGGCAGGCTGCTAGGTCCTGGTGCTCCGGTAGAAGAGGCAGGTCGCAGGGAAGACACACCTGGGTGCACGGGTGCGGTGGAAAGGGGGGAGACGAAAGAACGCGGGTGACTGAATGCAGTGTGGTGGAGATAAGGGTGTGAGGAGGAGGAAAAGCTTAGAGGGTGTAGCAGCAGGTGCTCTGGGCATGTGTAAGATCGTTGAACTTGCGGCAGCACAGACAAGCAGGGAGGGGTTGTAAGAAGTAAGGTGGGAGGGCTCACCTTGTTCTTAGCGAGGTTGACTATAACGAGGGAGGAGGCCCTCTCCCTCACGCACACCATGGGGGTCTGCATACCCACCTGGTAAAGGCCAGGGTGTGTGATTCATGCATCGTGGTAGGGGGAGGAGGGGAAGGGCGGGGGCAAAGGCGAGGGGGAATCGATGAAAAGAATGGGAGAATGCACGAATGCAGGATGCACTGATTGTGTTTCAGCAAGAGTTTGTTTTGTGGGTACATGGGGATGAGAGAATGCAGTGGGGCAAGATGTTTGGAGAAAGAGGAGAGGATATGAAGACGAGGGGAGTACCACGAAGGGGACTGGGGCGTCGAGGAATGGCAGCAGCTGTGATGGAAGGACCTGCAGTGAGGAGGGGAGAGGAGAGGAGAGGAGAGGAGAGGAGAGGAGAGGAGAGGAGAGGAGAGGAGAGGAGAGGAGAGGAGAGGAGAGGAGAGGAGATGAGATGAGAGCCGAGCAGAGGAGAGAAGAGTGGTGAGGGGAGGAGTGGAGGCACACAGCGAGTGCGTGTCAGTGTGCAGAACGAGGTGCACGAAGCTGCATTCTATATACTTCTGAAAAGGCAGAAGGATGAAGTGGAGGAGTGAAAAATAGAGAAAACATATGGGAGAGGAGATGTGCCATGAGCAGATGGGCACGAGTGAGGAAGCAAGGGCTGATACAGGTCAATCATGGTTGCTGATTAGTAGCACACGTGCAGCACTGAAACGAGTGAAAGCTAGGGGAGTAGGGAGGGACGACATGATCAACGGAGAGGAAAAGGAGGTGGGCGAGGGAGACAGGAAGAGGGGAAGGGAGGGAGGGAGGGAAGGATGGAGGAGGGCGGGTGGGAGGAAGCGCACCGGGAGAAGAGCGGACTGCCATATGAAGGGGCGGATGAGAGGCACAATGGCCAGCACAGCAGAGGAGAGCAGGCTCTGTGGACGGGCGAGCATCAGGGGAGGAAAGGAGGAGGGAGAGAGGTGGTGGATAGTGGGGAGAGAGTGGGTGGGTGGAGGAGAAAAAGGGGGGGAGGGTGGTGTTGTAAAATGCATCGATGCACTGGTTGTGGAGTGGACGGAAGAAGAGGTGATGTGAGATGGGATAGTGGGTAATAGTGAGAATGATGCTCCACGGATCGCCTTCGTCACTGCGTCTGGCTGTTTGAGCGATGGGTTGATGCGAGTGCTGATGGGTGACGATCAATGGGGTTTGTCTTAGCATGATGCAGTATGAGTGTGACGCTTATGAGTGTGACGCTTAGGAGTGTGTCGCTTATGTAACGTGACGTGCGTTGACCACTGTGTGTGTGCTCGGCATGCACTGTAATGGCCAGCACATACCAAGCCAATTTGACATCTGCATGATAGGTTTCTCTGAGGAGAGATGACAAGGGAGAGACGACAGGGGGCAGGAGAGAGAAGAGCATACCATGTTGGGGCAAATGACCACGACCTGCTTCTCTAGCAACACTGCTGCGAGGAAGAGCAGAACCTGTGGTGACACCATGCATGGCCGTGCACACGCGTGCGTGCATGCACCCGCAGAGGTACATGCGCACATGCACGTGAACATGCACAGAGACATGCATGCACACATGCACGCATGGACGCATGGACGCATGGACGCATGCACGCATGGACGCATGCACACGTATGCACGTATGCACGCACGCATGCATGCACACACACACGCACACAGAAAAGGTATGTGTATCCAGGGTACAGTGGAGCGGCATTGGCAAGAGAATTAACCTCTGAGAAAACGAAAGATTAGGGGTGGACAAGAGAGAGAGGGGCGTTGAGGGTGAGAAGGGGACTGGATGGGTCAGGGAACATGCAATGTTCCCTGACCATTAGTGAAGAGCCAAATGACGAGCCAAATGAACATCACATTAGTGTTAATGGCGCAGGGGAGATTGAATGGGGGAGGCTAAGCAGCCTGCAATGAGGCCTGGTGTGGTGAGCGATGGCGAGCGGTGGTGAGCGGTGGTGAGGGTTGCGAAGGTTACATTGTCGAGGGAGAGGCAGCGGCAGAGAGAGACGATGGAGAAAGGAGAGAAGCCCAAGGCTTCCTCTGAGTTGGCTTGGTGCTCCGCCTGACACGTGGCAGGTACAGACAGGTACAGAAAGGTAGACCCTAAGCATTTCCCAGAATTATTCACACTGGAATTCACTGCAGCTTTTTACGTTGCCCCTTTCTCTGCCCACTTAAACTTACATTGCCCTTGCACCTCTGCCTCACACGATCGGCAACCCAAAACCGTGTACCCTAAACTAGGACCATATCCATCTAGTTTCCGCTTGTGCCTATATCTGAGCTCCCCACAGCCTTTACTCCCTGCCGAGGGAACACAGATGTATCCCCTACCCTGAACCATCTTACCTCCAAAACCAGAGCATCATATTAGAGCATCGTGACTCTTGGCATGCCACGGAACATAAACCATACAAATAACATTCGTGAAGGCAAGGCAAACTCGTGCGGCAATCTACATGTAGAGCCCAACAGAAAGAGCTGACTCAAAGGCCCCCACCCCCTACACCACCCTCATCTCCCTCTCTTACCACAACAGCGGACCCATGTGAGTAGAGGAGAGAAGAGGGCGAGGAGGGTTGGGAGGAGGGGGAGCAGCAGGCGGAGGAGGAGGAGGTGGGGGAGAGGGGCCGCAGGGAGCGGGGGAGGGGGAGGATGGGGCGGGAGTAGACGATGGGTTGGTGGTGGGGGAGGGGGTGGAAGACAATGGGCTGCGCGGGAGGCGGCAGGGGCATGCGGTTGTAGGCGCACACAATGCGTAGCGAGTCGTTGCCGTGTTGCTGGGGGGAGGGGGGAGGAAGGATGAGGTTGGGGGAGGCGAGGGAGGAGATAGAGAAGGGAAAGCAGGGGGGGTAGGGGGAGTAGGGGGAGCAGGGGGAGTAGGGGTAGGAGGGGGAGGAGGGGGAGAAGAATGAGGACGGGGAGGGCAAAAGTAAAGGGTGGAAATGGTTGGGGATATAGGCGTTAAGCCTAGGGGTGGGTGAAAAGCTTAGGGTTCACAGGATTTAAGAGTGGTGGGAGGGAAAAAGCGGAGGGAACAAACCGTAGGGGAAAAGTGGAGGGAAAGGGCCACCTTAACAAAGAAAAGAACATGCGAGAGAAAAAAAAAGACGTTTGCAATCGAAGGAAGTTGAGGTAAGCAGCAGAGCAGCCACGTCCTTCTCCAGCAGCACTGCTCAACCCTGCCCCATCCTCCTCCCTCCTCAGGCACATGCCCCCCGCAGCCCCCAGTGTCACGCACTAACCTGCGCCCATTCTTCCACAGCAGCTGCCCCATAGTCCCCCCCTGCCTGTGCGTGCCCCCTCATCTCCCACACCATCTGCCTCTCCTCCTGCTCCACACTATCCTCCCCTGCACTCGCATCCCCCTGCTCCCCTTCCCCCCCTCCCCCCTCCTCCGCCTCCCCCTCCCCTTCCCGCTCGCCCTCCACCAGCCTGACCTGCCTCCCACTCACTTGACGCGCCTCTTCATACCCGCCATGCCCCACGCCCGCACTGCCCTCCTCATTCACACACCACCCTGCTGCACGCCCTCCCCCAAACTCGCCCCCGTCAACCTTCCCCTCTTCTTCCTCCATCTCTCCCTCCTCCATGCCCTCCTCTCCCATCGCCACTCCCACTCTCTCACCCCTCACGCACCACCCTGAAGCGTCCCCTCCCCCTGTCTGCTCGTCCCACCTGTCCCCACTTTCTCCCCTGCCTCCTCCGCCCGGCCTTGCCCCGCTGCTCCCCCTTTCCGCCCTGCCCGCCCGCCCCCCGCCATCCTCGTAAGCAGCCAGAGCAGCGCATTCTTCCAGCCACTGGTAGCTGTTGCGACTGCTGCTGCGGCTGGAGGGATGGGGGATGGGGGATGGGGGATGGTTGATGGGGAGTGGGGGACGGCGGATGGGGTATGGGGGGTGCATGGGGAGGAGAGGAAGAAAAAGGCGATGGGTGAGAGAAGCAATGCAGGTTGGAAATACACAATGGCCTGAGAGAGAAAAGAACGAGCATAGATAAATAAATCACAGAAGCTTCCTTCTTCCTGTTTCTGCACTTCGTTTGCTGCTTCTCGTTTGCTCCTATTCTGAAGGAAAGGGGATAAGATAAATTTGGAGATGAATCAGAAGTATTCTCGTTTGTCCCGGGTGTCTGGGCAAGGTCAAGCCGACACAGGGGAGGGATTCTGTAGTGCAAATAGCAGCGGAGAGGAGGCTTAGGTCTGGATAATGCTGATACTACGTTGCCTGACGGTACGGGGAGATTCTAGAAGTCTTGGACCAGGACAACAGGAAGAGGGAAGAGCACCAGTGGCTTTTCGAGTGCAGGTCACGAGCTGTGCAACTCAAAACTTGATTTCACAACAGCAATTGGAGGTTCGAAAAGGGGTCAGAGTTCTCGGCGGACAATTGCCGAGTTTGTGACACACATCACACATTTTTCCACACAGTGCTGCAAAACAACAACTGGGTCGCACTTGCGTTCTCGCACTACTTGGGCGACGGCTACTAGGGCGACGGGGCGGCATCGCAGCACTCTTACGCGTTCCCCGCAACCTCCCTGCTTGCCGTTACAGCCTTTCCTTCCCTCACTGCAAGTCTCACCTAGGGCGAGATGGCAGCAGCATTCGTGTGCGCACCTATCACCTGTGCGCGCACCTAGCACCAGTGGTGGTGAGGTTGCGGAATAGCCCCGGCAGCCCCGAGAAGACGCTGCCGCTCGTCGTCGCCTTGCCTCCCTGCCTCACGCTCTCGCCCCGCGCTCTCCTCGCCGGGGACTCCCACCCCCACTCCTCCCACTCGCGCCACCTCGCCCAATTCTCCGCGCCTCCTTTCCCATGCGCCTGGCCCCCTCTCGCGCGGCCGTCCGCGTTACTGCTCAGCGCGTTATCATCGGGGGTGTCCCTGGCTGTCAGGCCGGGTTTCCCTCTGGGCGTTCCAGCCTCGAGCGGTTGTCCATCGTTCACGCTCATCCACGCTTTCTTCACCTTGTTAGCAAGCGACGTGCTCCTCCGCATTCGCCGCGACCAATCCAGAGGTCTCAAATTGCTGCTGATACTGCTGCCGCTGCTCCTGCCACTCTCGCGCTCGCCGCTGCTCCAGTCGTCCCCCCCGTTCCCCTTCCCGGTCCCCCGTCGTCTTCCTTCCAAAGGCCCGCTTGCTTCCCCTTCCGCCTCCCTTTCTCTCCGCGCAGCAGCCTTTCCATCTGCCCCTTTCCCCGCACGCGCTTCCCTGTCTGAACCCCAAACCTGCGCGCCTAATTCCTCCCCATCCACCCCATTCCCCGCACTCGCCCCCGCGTCCGGAGCCCAAAGCTGCGTGTCTGGCTCCGCTCCGCCCGCCGCTTCCGCTCCGCTTCCGCCCGCGCTTCCCCGCTCTCCGCGTTGCTCCCACAGGTCCAGAATCTCCGCGACCTCGCGCAACAGCCTCTCCTCCTCATCGTACGCTGACTCTCTGCACACATTGCCCTCCCCCTCCTCCCCCCTCTCCTCAACCTCCTCCCCCTCCTCCCTCTCCTCCCCCTCCTCCCCCTCCTCCCCCTCCTCCCCCTCCTCCCCCTCCTCCCCCTCCTCCGTTCCCTCTCCCTCTGCCTCCCCCTCCCCCGCTCCCTCTCCTGCGGCGCGCGCAGGAGGCGCTTCAAGCTCCCAGTCCGCGTCGTGCATCTGCCGTCCGCCCCCCACATCCAACTGAGCACTCGCTTCCTCCGCTCCCCTCCGCCTCCTTCCCCCTTTGTCACTCACGTCGTCACTCGCTTCAGAGCTGTCCTCGTTAATATCCGTCTCGCTATCATCAGAGCTGTTGCTTTCCGCCGCAGCGGGCGCAGCAGGGAACGCGTTGCGCAAACCGCCGGTTCCGCTGCCTGGTAGCCGAACGCTCCGCGCGCGGATCATTCCGGGGGGCCCTGCGCCCCGCTCCCCCTTCCGCCCGGATTCCCCCTTGCCTGCTGCGACCGTGACGTTCGATACGCCACTGCCACAACCCTCTCCCCCTTCTGCAGCGTTGTTATTGCTACTGCTGGTGCTGCAGCTGCGAGCAAGAGCACGATCACAGGTTGTTGCTGCGTTCAAGTGCAGCTGCTGCAGATACGCGAGAGGGATGACGGTGGACTGCCATGCTCCCCTCTCTCCACCCTCGTCCCCCTCTGCCCCCTCGCCTTCTTCCTCCCTCCCCTCATGCTCCCCCCAACCCTCATCCCGGACCCGCACTCCCCCTCCTTCCACATCGTGCCCACTGCAAAAGCTCCCATCCTCTGCCCCTCGCACGGGGTAATGTTCATTTGCCGCACCCCCCTGCCTTCTGGCTTCCAGTCCACAACCCCCCCTCGCCTCTTCCAAGTCTCTCCTCCCCTCAATCTCACGTCCTGCTACTCCTGCTGCTGGTGCCTCTCCTCCCTGCCCCCCCTGCCCCCTGCATGCTGCCACGTCCTCCTCACAGAACCTGCTCTTGACCCTCAACAACCCACTTCTGCTCTTGGCACCTCCACCAGCAGCAGCAGCGCCACCAGCACCCCCACTGGCAATCGCACCACTGCTGCGGCCACCAACAGCACCACCGGACGCATTGCCAAGCCTACGAGCAGCAGCAGCCGTGGCATCAGTGCAGCTGCTTAAGGAGGGAAGAGGAGGAGCTTCGATGCTGGCAGTCCGGGACATGAAGTGGGGCGTGGGCATGGGCATGGGGAGGCCTCTGGGGACTGCTATGGCGCCGCTGTGCTGCTTGATGCGGTCCAGTCGCTCCTGCACCAGCACACTGGGGAGAGAGGGCGCATGCAGGGTGACAAGAGATGGCGTTGGAGGGAGGAGGCAAGGGGCAGAAGGTAGAGCAATGGCCATGGATACTGGTAGAGCAACTGGCTGGTGTTGCAGGTGACGACTACCAACGTGTTGCACCGGCACCGGCAACGGGCGTTTAGCAGGCAAAAGGGATACTCAAGGCAACGCATGAGTGACAGAGAGGAGCACAGCACACGTGAAGCAGTGCTCGCACATGGCAAGGCAGGGGGTAGACAGGGCACAGGGCACACCTGCGCAGCACTTCAAAGTGCAGCTCAATGCAGGGCACGCGGCTTAAGATGCAGTAGCACCGCGGCGCTGTCACCACACACCGCAACCCACCGCCCTCAACTCCCCCGTATTCCCCCCCGCCGCCATCGGTCGCCTCCCCTGGCTCCATCTCCCGGCTTCCCTTCGCGTGTGTGGCTGCATCGGCTTCATCAGCGTCCCTCCACACGGCCCCGTCGCCTGCCACTGCGAGCACGCCTGGTGGGCGCTGCACTATCTCCTCCACCACCATGCACACGCCGTACAGCGTCGTGTTGTTTGCCACCTGCCATGGGGCAATGAGGATGGGGGGGAGCAATCTTAGAGAGGAGTGATTTGCGTTGCAGGAAGCGATATGCATACGTGTCGGGTAAAATGGAGTGGAATGCGGTGGAGTGGAGTGAATACGGACAGATGGACGGATGGCCTGTATAGGGTGTGAAGCTGCCGCTGAGAGGTGGGCCTGGAGGCACTGATGGTGCAGCGAAGCATACCTTGAGAAGAAAGACAAATGCAGAGTCGTCAGAACGCTGGTATGCCTGCAGGGGGGGCGAGGGCAGGCAGACAAACAGGCAGTCAGGCAGATGATGGGCAGGGAAAGGCAGGCAGAAAACGCAGAAGCAAAGGTGTCTAGCTTCTCTGGGTACAAGCTCATTGAACGACTACCAGCTCATTCAGAAACCCTGTGGTTGAATGGGGAAGCGGCACAAGCGTGATAATAGGAAAGCAGGCGTGATCTCAAGTGGCGTAGCGCTGACAGCATTCTTTATTCCCCTCCCCACCACATCCCCTCCCCTCATCCAGGCGCAATTCTCAGGGCTTACCTGTCCAAAAATTACTCGATGCAGGTCGCTCATGGAAGGGCTTCGGCGCAGCACAGTGGCCTGGACAGACAGGTTCAAGAACACACACGGTCAAGGTGCTCCACGGTGAGTGCCTCCTTGTGTGGACCGACAGCATTCAAAGCAAGAAGGTTGTGTGTGTGCAAGCCAGCCCCGAAAGTCACTGGACAGGCTGTGCTTGTTCTCGGGCATTGAAGCACCATGAGCCCACTTATATTGGAGGCACTCACCTTGATCCCGTTGGGAAAGCAGAATCCTGGCAGATCCGAAGGAGAGAGAGCGAGTTTCTTGCCAGGGGGGAACTTGAACAGCAGCTGCAGAGGAGCCAGGCAGACAGTGAGTCAGCACAGAAGAAAGCATGGGACTTGATTGAAGGTTGACCCAGCGGTCTCTAAGCAGCTGGTATAAATCAGGAAACGGCAATAGAATGGACAAGCAGGTAGACTATGCTTAGAAGAGCACATTGGGAGCTGAAATCTGACCTGTGGTTCCAATTGGACCTTGGAGCTCTCATCGTGCTCCATCTCCTCGTCCTCATCACTCCCACATCCCTCCAATTCCTTACTCTCCAGCCTCGCCACCCGTTGCCCTGCCATGCTGGCAGCTGAAGCAGCCGCTAGTGACGCAGCCGCTGCAGCTGCAGCCGACGCAGCAGTGGCAGCAGCAGAAGCAGCGGAGTCCCGGGCCTTGATGACCCAGCTCACGCTGCTGTTCCTGCCGCCTGCAGCTGCGTTGCTGCCAGCCTCGCCGCCAGCTCTCCACCCCATCATGCTACTGAAGCTGTCTCTAGGACTGTTCCCTACTACTACACTGTCCCGGAACAGGTTGCTGAACCGACTCGTCAGCCTTGTCGCACTGCTCGCCACCCTGCCAAGGCTGCTCGCGATGCTCCCTCTATAATCACCTAGCTCCTCCATGCCTTTATTCCCACTAGCAAGAATAGCATCTGCTACATGTCTCTGGCCATGGTTGGAACCATTTCCAGTTTCCCCTTTTGAGTCTCCACCCTTGGTTGAAATAAAACTGCAGTTAGTGCTGCTGGGCCCAGGATAACACGCTCCAGGCGCACTTCGCGGCTCACTCATGCTAGGCCTGTTCCCAGCTCCGCAACTGCTGTCACTGCTGTTGGTACCGCTACTGTTGGAGCAGCCGCCGCTGCTGCACGTGCTGCAGATGCTGCTGCGGGAACTGTCAATGCTGCCACTGCCAGCAGCGTGAAGCAGAACGCTTGGAAACCTACCACGACTACCATTAGTACCTTTATGATGATCTTCTTTGGAATATTTCACCTGGATCCTGTTCTTGAAGTCACGTAACGAGGCCTCTTCCACGACTGTCAGGTCGGTTCCCGGATGCAAGCCAACGACGAGGAAATGCTCCATGAATGACTCCTCGCCTCCATCCGATCCCCTCTCCTGAAGAATCATGACAGTGACTCGTCAGATTGAACGCCCCTCTGTAAAACAAAATGACCTTTTACCGTTTTTTTTACAGAACTTATTGGGAGAAGGATAAACTAATAATGGAGAAAACGTCGAGAGGAACCTGACGAAATGGTGGATCTGGGTCTCTTACACTGAGTTTTCTTTGCTGTTGGTACCACTCGCGTTTCTGATTCGTCAGGCGTTCCAAGTCGGATGCCACTAGGGGATGGTCGCTGCCGCACCGCTCTGCCACCACTCCAAGCAGCCATTCCTTCCAAGACCGGGTCCGCACGGAGCCCAGTATGGTCTGGTAAGTTTCCGTGTTGCTTCCGGACACTCGTCGGCCGTATTTTCTCTCATCGCGACGACTCGGCGAGATCGGATCTCCACCTTGGCGAGGCATTCTAAAGTATAACGCTTCTTTCACGCTATGACTTGACGTACTAATTGATCGCCATGAGGATATGTAGTGTAAATGATTTATTTGTTTTTTCGCAAAAAGAATCTGGACAAGAATCAAGTGTGGAGGAGACGGTACGTCGAGCGTGAATATCGTCCCACTACATCGTCCTTCACATCACGCATCAGCATGGTGAATCGCCAGCAGTACCAGAAGCCAGAGCGTGTGTCACCAGCCGCTGACGACGGCGACGTCACTCTGATCGCGTCGCTACTCCAGTACTCGCAAACAAACCCGAGACTGGACGAGTAGCAGGAGCAGAGCGCTGCTCCAAGGCAAGTTGCGAGCGAGCGGCGGCTCATGTCACCACAGCACAGTGGCAGTTCGATTTTGCTGCTCAGACGATCAGCTCGAGAGAGGATGGTCTCCTCCCAACCCCACCAAGGGAAGTGCGAACAAGCAGCTCAGTGCGGTGCGCTACGTTTGTCCCGATTGGCTGCCCCGAGTCTTCCTGACCCCACACAGAAGTTTGAGGCAAGCAAAGAAAGTGCCGAGACGCGGAGCCTTGAGTATTTCCCAATTTTTCGACATTGAACTTCTCGTTATATGAAAACAATCGTATACACGAAACTGTAGAAATTTTATTGTTCTGTACTTGAAGTCGCATAGCCCCCCAAGCCAAACCATGCAAAGAGGAATTTGTCCGCCACTACGGAGCACCCAGTGTACGACAAAATGACAGAGAGCATCCCAAGGTCGCATGCCCACGCTAAAGCCCTGCCCGCATGAAGAGCCGTCGGCATTTCCCAAGGCCGTGCCTGGCTTTCTACCCAAGTTCCGGTACTAAAGCGCCTCAGGTACTTCGGAGCCGATGACCTTCTATTAAGAGTCGTTCTTAAAGCCTAACCCTGCTGCTCTCGCGTCGCTGGAAACTCCCGCGACTCTTTAAGGTGCACAACTCTCAAGCTCCACAGCGAATTGTTTAAGACTAAATACCTCTCTACAGGTCGCGCGGTCGTGGAATGGCGAATATGGAGATGGTCCTGCCGACCTCTCCCAGCCCCTCGTCGCCGTCCAGCAGCGGCAGCGCGGACGAGCTCGCGTCGCTGCTCGAGGCGGAGTTGGAGGACGTGCGCGTCGACGAGGGGGACGAGGAAGCGGACGATGAGGAGCAGGGCGAGGGGGAAGCGGAGGATGCGGACACGGAGGCGGGGGGGGCGGAGGATGGGGAAGCAACAGCCGATGCGATAGGCGATACGGTAGCGGATTACGACGTAAGTGACGCCGCCGACACAATCGAGGACGACGCGATGCTGGAAGAGCCGGCTGCCGGCGGCGATGACTCACCAGGGGGTGCGACAACGGGACCGGTCGAACCGCGGAAAGGGCTTGACGAAGATCGGGGGGGGAAGCGGCGACGGATGTGCGGCGACGGCACGAGCGGGGGAGAGGCGAGTGCAGCAGTGGGCGGAGGGGGGAAGGATGGGCGCGAAACTGACCGCGGAAGAGGCGCAAGTGCCGCCAGCGATAGCCGGGGGGGTGGCGGAAAGGGGGGAAAGGAGCGCAGGAGCAGCGGATGCCCCCCGCATCCGGGGTTTATGTGGGGCGTGTGCATTCGGTGCGGTATTCTCAAGGAGCGCGCGGAGGCGGACGAGGAGGCGGGGGAGGAAAGGGGCGCGGGAATCGCCCGCGGAGGTGGAAGTGGTGGCGCGGCGGTGCGGTGTGGGCCTGGTGATGGGGGCAGGGAGAAGCCTAAGGCTTCTGCTGACGTGGCAGGCGGCGTAGCCCTTAAATATATTCACCACGTGAGTGTAAATGCACTTCCATCCCATGGGGATGAAAGCCTGAACTGCTCTTCACTCAGCACCGATGCTCTCCATGCTCCGTCCGTCTGTCCGGCGGCCTGCGTTTCTGTTCCCACCGTATCCAATTTGCCGTATCCCCTTCAACCCCTCTCACCTTCGTCCGCCCTTCCCTTCCCACACCCTGCCCAATCCCTTCTCATCCCCACTGAAACCAACTTCTTGGCTTGCAAAAACCTAAACTACCCCCTACCCTCCTCTCCCCTCTCCCACACCTCCCCTTTCCCCACTGCGCGCAGGCGCTGGAGGTGTCAGCGGAGGAGGCGGCGCGCATGGTGGGGGAGGAGCGGGCGCGCATGGAGCGGAGGCGGCGGCTGTACCTAGTCCTGGACCTGGACCACACGCTGCTCAACTCCGCACGGGACATCGACGTCCCGCCCGCCCATGAGGCCTACCTCGCTGCTGCCTACACCATTGGCGGCGTGCCGCCTGCTCTGCCACCGGCTGCTGCCCCGCCTGCTGGGCTACCTGCTGGGCCTCAGCCGCCCCCTGCTGTGTCACCGCCTGCTTCCCTTGCGGTCGCTGCTGCTCCTGCTGCCGCGGCCTCTCCTCCTGCTCCTCCTGCTACTTCCGCTGCTGCTGCTGCTGCAAGTGCCGACGCTGGTGCCGGTGCTGGTGCTGGTGCTGTGTGTGCGCGTGCAGCTGAAGCCACTGGGTCAGAAGCGCCTGCCCCAAGTGCTGACACGGGGGGGCAACAAGCAGCAGAACCAGCGGTAGCAGGTGGGGAGGCTGGTGCTGCAGAGCCGGCAGGGGAGCAGAGGGAGCAGGGCACTAGCACAGGCGCAGGCACAGGTGACAACCCAGAGACTGCCCCGACTGCTGCTGCCACGCCTGCTACTTCCGGCCCTGTCTCCCCCCCCGCCGCCCCGCCCCCCATCACCCTCTTCCGTCTCCCCCACATCCGCATGTGGACGAAACTCCGGCCCGGAATAGCCTCGTTCCTGCAGCGCGCGCACGAGCTGTTCGACCTGGTGGTGTACACGAACGGGGAGCGCGCATACGCGCACGCCATGGCGGCTCTGCTGGACCCCACGGGGCGGCTGTTTGGCGGGAGGGTGATCTCGCACGGGGACAGCACGGTGCGCGGGCTCAAGGACCTGGACGTGGTGCTGGGGGCGGATAGCATGGTGCTCATTCTCGACGACTCTGAAGTGGTGCGTGCGGTGGGATGTGGGGGGGGGGGGGGGACGGGGGGACGGGGGGGCTGGGGTTTGGGAGGGAGGAATGGGGAGGGGGTTTGGCTCTTGAAGGACCTGGACGTGGTGCTGGGGGCCGATAGCATGGTGCTCATTCTCGACGACTCGGAAGTGGTGCGTGGGGTGTGATGGGGGGGAGGGGGGGGCTGGGGGGACTGGGGTTTGGCTGGGAGGAATGGCAAAAGGGGGTTTATGTCTTCAAGGACTTGGACGTGGTGCTGGGGGCGGATAGCATGGTGCGTGGGATGCGATGTGGGGGAGGGGGGAATTGGGGACGGGGGGTGATGCGGGGAGCAGGGGTTGTGTGGAGGTGGGGGGTGTAAGGGGGAAGGATTAAGAGGGGGTGGGAGGGAGAACTGGGGAGGGGGGAGAAGTGAGCATCAATTCTCTCTTCCCCTTTTTCTCTTCCTAGCTAACGCACTCGACTCCCCTCCTGCTCCTTGTGTTCCTCCCCATCATTCCCACCACATAACCCGCGAGCTCCAAAACCCATTCTACTACCTAAAACCTCCAACTCATCTTCTGCCTTCCCCTCCTCCTTTTTCCTAATCCCCACTGCCCTCCCCTTTCCCCTTCCCCTTCCCCACTCTCCGTCCCCTTTCCCACTCCCCCGTCCCCTTCACCCCCTCGCCCACAGGTGTGGCCGAAGCACCGGCACAACCTGCTGCTGGTGGAGCGGTACCACTTCTTTGCCAGCAGTCGCCAGCACTTCCTGCTGCCGGGGCCCTCGCTGCTCGAGTCCCACGTGGACGAGGCCGATGAGGGCGGGCTGCTCGACGCGCTCTGGACGCCCCTCTCCCGCACGCACCAGCGCTTCTTCCAGCAGGTGCCGTGGGGTGCTAGGTTTGGAGGAAGGCGGGGTGGGGGGAGGAGGCCGGGTGTGCGGATGGATGGGGATGGGCTGGTTGAGGTTGGGAAAAAGGCGGAATGGGTGTGTGTGTACATTTGCTAGGATGCCTAGCACATCCTGTCAGCGCATCATTGCGTGCACGCTCCTTTCTCCGCTTCCTTCTTCCACCCTTTCCTTCCCCCTTCTGTCGCGTTTCTCTTTTTCTCTTGGTCCCCTCTCCCTCTCTCTCTCTCCCTCCCTCCTCCCACACTGCCCATTTTCCCCTCCTCATTCTCCTCTTCCTCCCCTCTCCCTCTCCCCCCTCGTCTTCCTCCGCGTCCCTGCCTTCTTCTGCCTTCACTCGTGCAGGTGGATCAAGGACGGCAATCAGCAGACGTGAGACAGGTACGTATCTGTGCACCCCTCCACCCACCGTACCCCGCCACCTCACTGTGATGACCGCCCCTCCTCCACCTTCACACTAGATTGCTTCCCATCTCACTTCTTCGCCTCCCACTTTCATGTCACCACGGGCACTCGTGCCTTCGCCCCTCCTCCTCCTTCACCACCCTCCCTTCTCTTCCCCCCTCGACTCCACATGCTTCCATTACCTCACAACCCACGAACACCTCCCAACACCGCCTTAGTGGTTCACCCCAACACTTTCTAACAACCCTCCAACATTGCCCATTCACCCCAACCCCTCACCCCCCACACCGCATGCTCAGATCCTAGCGCAAGAGCGTGCCACCATCCTATCAGGCTGCCATCTTGTCTTCAGCCGGGTCTTCCCCACCGACGCTTCCCGCCCGCAAACCCACCCGCTCTGGCGCATGGCCGAATCCATGGGCGCCACGTGTCACACCCAGATGGGCCCGCAGATCACGCACGTGGTCGCGCTGGACTGCGGCACGGATAAGGCCATCTGGGCCGTGTCGCAGAAGCGCCACCTGGTGCATCCTGGTTGGCTGGAGGCCTCGCTGCTGGTGTGGAAGCGGGCAGATGAAAAGAAGTTTCCTGTGGACTGGGGGAAGGGGCGGGCAGGGTGGTGCCCGAGCATTCAAGTGGTGGCAACGGTGCCTATGCCGGCCAACGGTGCTGCTGTTGAGGGTGCAGGGGTGGTGGCGGCGGCTGAAAAGGATGAGGAGTCAAATAGGAGCTCTGTACCCGAGGGCTCGGGAGGTGCAGCAGCAGGAGAGGGGGGCACTGAGAATGAGAGTGGGAGTGGTGTGGTGGGGAAAGAGTCGGAGGAAGTGGTTGGGAGTGCAGAGGCAGTGGTTGGGAGTGGTGCAGATGCGACGGACAAACAAGTGTAGTAGGCATTGTCTTAGGGAACAACCACGCTGGCACCCACGTGCCATTTCACTTTGCATGGAAGTTAGTAGGTTGGATCAGGGCTGAATGTCTTCTTCTACCGGTAACATGGGGACTTCCTCTGCCTATACGTGCAAGGGTATAGTAGAAGAGGAGTACCGGTGCAACGTTCAGCCTGTGTGGTTTGTTGCTGACGAATCTGCGGCGATGATGAGATGAGCAAATATGGTAAGGGATGTAGGTGATCCATGGAAAGCTGTAGGGTGGGGATTGTTTGCACCGCTAAGCAGAAACCCTGGCCTAGAGTTGTTAGCTCCAGCTTTGAGTTTCCAAGCCAGGCATCTTTGGGAGCTAGTGCAGCTGTGTTGGTAGCTTCCGGAGCTCTCTCCCTATCTCACCCGCGCATAGTTTCAAAACACGGGTTCACATTAAAGTTGGTCGGTTGTAGGGCCAGCCAGGTTCTTGAGAGAATGTGAATGGAACATTGTTGTACGGCTTTGCTTTCGGCTGTTACCGGTAGACACAATTTCACACAGCACAAGAACGATACACGACTGATATCACACAAAAAAATGGCTCTGTATTGGCCTAAGCTGCTGCTGGGACTGTACCAAGCTACCGGTATCACTGCACAAGCAACAATGTGAGCTACCTGATGCTTGTTACCACACAAAACATGTGCACCCATGCACACGAAGCAGAGTGACACACTCTCTCTCACTTAAACACACTCACTTAAGCACTGACACACACACACACACACACGCACGCACACACACACACACACACACTCACACTCACTCACTCACACACACACGTGGAATCATGTATTGCGACAGTACCACCCCCTGCCGCACCGCCTGCTCTCATCGCATGATGTCTGGGTAGAGTGGGTCCACCCCATGCCTCCCCACTGCTGCCGGGGACTCTGACAGCGCATGGCTGGAGGGTGGCACCTGGGGAAGGGATACCTGCTGCCGCTGCTGCTGCTGCTGCTGCTGCTGCTGCTGCTGCTGCTGCCTTAGCTGCAGACCGTAAGGCATGTACCTGTCAAACTGCTGGTACAGCTGCGCTTGCTGCGCCTTCTCTGCATGCTGCCTGCCGTCCTGCACAGGCGAGCCCTGCAGCATCACATGCACAGGTAACACCTGTGGCGCATGCTGCATGCCTCTGCCTGTGTGACCCTGCTGTGGCTGCAGTGGCTGTAGCTGCCCCCACTCAGGCGTGTGGGGGCGTGCTGGTGGTGTGCGAGGAGGGGGGCGGTCCCATGGCGAGGAGAATAACAACTCCCTTTCCTGGGGGCTAAAGGACGACGACCGCCGGTGCCTCTGCTGCTGCGGCACTTGCTGCTGCTGCTGCTGCTGCTGCAGTTGCTGCATATATCGCTCTTCACATTCCCCCTCACCTCCTCTGCCGCTGCCCCATCCCAAGTGCCCTTCTTCCTGCACTGTCCCTGGTAGCCCTATGTGCTTACTACCACCCATAGACCCGTCACTCCCCAAGCTCGTTTCATCAGGCCTATGCGCGACTCGGCCGCCTCCTGAAAAGAGACACGCGTGTGCTAAGCCCTCCCCTTGCCCCTCGCCCATGTGTCGCCCGCTATCCACGCTCGCGTTCCTAGGAAACGCGGCGCGTCCGCGCACGAACCCCGGGGCTTGTCCAATTTCAACGGTTCCGCCTCGCCAACCCCGCGGATCCGCGCCGTTCCGCTCCGCCGTCAACCCGTCCGCCGAACCCCACGCGTGCTGTGCGGTGTCCGCGGGAGCGAGCGGGGTGCGCGGAGTGACCGGGCGCCGCGCTTGCGAAGCGATGATACCGGGAGTGGCGCAGGCGCCGTCGTCTGTCTGATCCTCCTCCGCAATCCAGACGTGCGAGGAGAGAGGAATGTGAGTTAAAGACGCTGGTATCTTTGACTTGTGTGTGTAGTCCGCTTTCCACGGATCTCTCTGATTAAAGCTGCTACTAATTTCCCTCCATTCACCCCCGGTTCCTTGCTTAACGCCGTCGACGCAGGACGAGTCTCTCCTGTCCCCCTCGCCTCCCTCCTGAATCTCCCGCATCTCCCGCAAGTTTCCCAGAGATAGCGACGCGCGTCGCTCCTTCGCCGAGCCCATCTTTCCGCGCAACCAGCCCCGCTCGCTGACGTTTTCCGCCGGCGCGGCGGAGATTTGTCGGTCCTTGCCTCCGCCGATGCGGATGCCCCGCCAGTTCCTCCCCGCGCCCACGAGATCGCGCAACCAGCCCTTGTCGTCCCCCGCAGCTGCTACTGGCACCGGCGCGGCGCCTTCCTCTTCCTCTTCCTCCTCCGCCACCGCCGACCACGGCGCGCGATGCGGCCTCTCAAGCCCTGATTCGCCGGACGGGCTGCCCACCGAGAACGACGCGCGTCGACGGCGAATGCGGTCCCACACGCCTCCGCCGCCGCTACCGCCCCTGCTGGCACCGCGCGTGGACGACTTGTCGTCTGCCGCCGCCGCCGCCGAAGAACCGTCGCGCCGATCGCACATGCTCTGACTGCGGGGAACGTACGGGCGGAGGAGGTGCGGCAATGCGGGGGCGTCCAGCTCGGGGAGGTTATCGAGCGACAGCGACATGCGACGAATCCCCGAGCTCGACGAACGACGGGCGCCGGCGCTCGCGCCGTTGCTCCCCCCCTCCTTGCCCCCGCCCTCTCCGCCAGCGGCGGCCGCCATGCTGTTCCGCCTGCCAAGCCCGCCGCGCTTTCTCCGCGGATCCAGTCGGCCCCACGGATCTGACACCGCTGCTGCGCTGTGCGCGCTGCTGTTACTGCTGCAGCTGCTGCTGCTGTTCGCCCTGCTGCCGCCACTCCCGCTGCCTCCGCTTCCGCCAGCGCCGCCTGTGCTGCTCAGACTGCTGGCGCAACTCATGCTGCGGCGCACGGGGACGGGTTGCTGACGAACCTTGCCCGCGTCATCGTGGCCTACGTCTATCGTGCATTCCGCTCGCTCCGGGCTATTACCCGCCGCATTCCACGCTACGCAAGAACCGGAAGCGCTTGGTTTGAGGTAATATATGCTGCCAGGTCGCAAGTGCTTGGCGGAGTCAAGCACCTGATCGTCCGCGGAATTGACGCAGTGCCCCGGCGGATGCTCCGCCAGCACGTCCGCCACCGTCTTGCCGGGGCCGTACATGCTGACGCTGCCGTCGGGAAGCACGACGACGGCGAGACGCCGCGGCTGGTTAAATAGCAGCCGGCCGACGGCTTGGATCGGCAGCCATGGCTTCCTCTCCACGTCCATCGCGAGCTGCCGTTCCGTGCGAGGGTGCTAGTGACGCTGAGGCGCCACGAAGATTTGGTGTGTGGGGACGCTACTAATGCGTCCGCGAACTAAGTTGACTTGTGAGTCGTTTTCTACTAAGCATTTGAGCACTAATTGCAGCCACGCAAAGTACTACAATGGACCCCCGCTCAGGTTTTCTACCACTAGTGACGGTGAAACGTCATGATATATTTGGTGTGTGGGACGCTACTACTAGTAATGGGTCCGCGAACTAGCGCCGCGAACGGAAATGGCGCTGAACGGACAGCTCAACAAGGATGGATCGCGCGAAGCCATGAGAGCGGTACATTGAACCAACGCGCGCGGCGGAAAGGGCGCGGAGCTCGTCGAGGTAGTGAGGATTGATCGCATTGGGATTCCACGTCTCAACTTGAGGTGATATGGTCAGCCAAAGGAGTGAAGCCCAGCTTGGTTGCTGGGGAGGAATCTGGTGGATGCGTCAGCCCCAAATGGTCATGGATGGTGTTCGTTTGAACTTCGAAGCAGCAATGTACCACTGCATTCCCCATGCACCGAAGAGATGCCTCCATCAACCTCATCCCTCTGCCCTACAAATTACAGTATCATCCGCCCCGCCGCCTTTCCTTTCTGCCATTACAGGAGGATCTTGAACCAAGAGACTCATTTGCCTCAGAGGTTTACCTCGCCTAGATTCCTTTGCGTTTGGGTACAAAGTTACAGATTGCCTCGAGCCTGTCAAGTGGGCGGCGAATTCGTGCTGTCGTGGGTTCACATCTTCATGCGTGGGTGTACGGCTGAGAGTCACCTGTTGAACTAGCCAAGTCCATGGGCTGGGCCTGTGCCTCCTCCCGAATCCTTCCGTGCTGATCGTTCTGGTGTTCCGAAGTTTAGGGTGTACTACACTACGGAAAAAAAGTAAAATGCTTGTGCAGGATGATGATGTCGCAACGTGTTCTTCGTTAGGAAAGGCGCATTTACAAAAGGTTCGTGTGTCTAACCCTTCCGGCCAGTTATCTCACCAGGGAGGTTTCGCAAGAGCCGAAGTTGGCTCGGAAGACGCGAAGAGGCTCGGAAGTCCTGACCAGAAGTGTGACAAGGGCGGAGAATGGGGCTTACTAGATCCTTTCAAGGCCGCGATGCCTACCAAAGTTGGAAACGTGTGTAGCAGATCTTTGTCGGCGCGGGTACTGTGTACCCATAAAATTCAGGAGATAACTGCGCCCGAAACTACAAGTTTCAGGGGATAGTGATCAAAGGCTAAATGGAAGTTCGACTACCTTAAAGATTTAGTATACATTTGTCAGCGAGGTTCAGGGTTTTACAGTGTGCCTCACAGTTTTGGGGCAACTTTTCAAGTTCCTAAGGATTTTGAAACCCCCCTTTCAAATGTATACCGGAGCTTTAAGAGCCCTTGTTTGGAGTTTTAATGTACGAGTCCAATGTGAGCAGGGACACTAGGTGAGGATACCAACTCTCACGCATCCCAGGGCACACCTGGGGCCGTGTCAACAGACTTCAGCTCAGTTGCCGAGCCTTCCACTTCCGAGTTTCCGTACCGAGCTCCACTTAGGGTCACTCCATATTCCCATCGCACAGCCAACTTCGGGCGTAACTTTGCAAGGAACCTCTGACTTTCCAGCCTGCCCAAAACCAACCTGGGGCTTACTCAGGGGAGTCAGGGGTTTGCGGATGTACCCCACAGTCCTAATGAATGACCCTTCTGCACCGAAGTGAAGTGAGGAATGCTACGTGGCTACGCGATTCGAAAGTGGAACTGTCTTCATCTTTGCGATTAGGCACGTGTGAACATTCTCACCCAGTAGTCGACGACAGGCGAATTTGGGCAAAGATCTGGGTAGATTGTCGTCGGAAGGACACGAAACATCGCCAGTTAAACGCAGCATGAAGGCTGGCCGAGCCGCAGTGTACTGTCAATAGTGTAGCCCGTCATAACCACAGAAATCCATTGAGTGACGTCACCAACTACCCCAGCAGATGAGGGTGGATGGCAGATATGTGGTGGCAATGAACGTACGGATGTACATATCCGAAAAGTTACAAACCTCGGCGGTGGGTGAGGTTGTCAATGTCATGTCATGCCTGTACTGTAACTGGCTTGAACATTGGATTTTTTCATTACTCGCGTACTGTATCCACAAATACCTGAGGGCAACACTGCACTGTACATGCCTCCCCTTTCCTTCTCTTTAGGGCACCCGGCAAAATCCAAGTTCGCGCTCTTATCCCCGATATTCGAATCTGGCGATTCAAGAATTTTCTAGGCATGCTCATGCTCGACGTGGTTCTCTTAAAATATTAGAAACACCAAATAGTTAGCATATAAAATGCTCCATCATATCCGGAGCCTGGAGCTCACTTCCCTAAACACGAAGTACCATATCGTTTGTCCGTATTATTACACAAGCTTACGAAGTATTGTACATGGGAGATATATTTTAACCAATAAGACCGTCCTAAGGTAGAAACCACATACGGTCGGAACCTAAGCAGAGGGAAGCGGAGCATAGCCACCACGCATATGCTGCTGTAGCCAGTGGATGCTACTCTGCATCCAGGCGGGCCTGTTTGCCTCTGGCGTGATGAGCACGAAGAGCAGCGTCATAGCTAGAGAGATGAGCACAATGAGGATGATCACAGCCCACCACCAAAAAGTGGCATGGGAGGGAACTGCATGTGAAAGGGGTGACGGCAGCGAGAGCAGAGGGAGACATACTGTTAAGGCAGACATGCTTGGAAGTAGGAAGAAAGTGGTGCATCCAACTCAAAAGTATGAAATATGGTACCCACTATAACTTCAAGACTCCTGGCACCAAGACATGCCCCTCGTAAGAGGAGGGAATCCACAAGCATAACGCATGGGGTGGCTGGCACATACCCAGCAGCACATGCACATGGTAAGTGGTGGGCGAGTAGCCATGACCCTCCACCACGACTTCAGCATCCGCACGCGCCACAGCAGCACCCTCCTTGATGTCGTGCCACTCTAGCTGCGGGCTGGCTGTGTTGTTCGCCACTACATCCCCATTCACACGCACTTTCAGCGCCTTGCACTGCTCCTCCTGAATCGCACACAGTGCAGGGTGGGAAAGCAAGAGTCACGATACAGAAAAAAGTAAGCAGAGGTGCATGGAAGCAACACAGACCATTCGTAGCAGCGCTCAGCGCCCACTTGAGAGAACGGTGGTGGTAAAGTAGGAAGGGGTTATGGAAGCGGTGCCAATGACAGACGTACCCCGCACAGTACGGGCGTTAGAGTCACACTCCGTGAAGGTACAGTCACGTTGTAGGTCGTCACGTCACGAGAGAATCGAGGCGCCAGCAGCTCCCGCGGCGTTCCCTCCACTCCCACGATCAAATCGTTCAGACGGGCAGGGGCAGGCGGAGGAGAGGGGGGGGGAGAAGGGGGTGGAGAGGGGGGTGGAGGAGAGGGGGGGGGAGGAGAGGGCGGAGGAGAGGGGGGCGGAGAGGGGGGTGGAGGAGAGGGGGGGGGAGGAGAGGGCGGAGGAGAGGGGGGCGGAGAGGGGGGCGGAGGTGAAGGGGGGCTTGGTGGGGGGGATGGAGGACGCGGGGATGGCGGTGGCGGCGGGGAAGAGGGGGGAGAGGGAGAAGGGGGCGGTGGAGGGTTTGGAGGACTGGGAGGCGATGGTGGCGGCGGAGATGGCGGTGGGGGAGACGGCGGAGGAGACGGAGGCGGAGAAGGAGGCGGAGACGGTGGGGGAGACGGCGGAGGCGGCGGCGACGGTGGGGGAGGGGGAGACGGCGACGGCGGAGGGGGGGGTGGCGACGGAGGAGGGGGGATGGGCGGAGGAGGTGGTGATGGCGAAGGTGGTGGGGGGGGCGGCGGCGAGGATGGCACGGGGTACGGGGTTGGAGCGGGCGCATCTGCCTCAACGAGTTCATCGCTCCAAAGCGCCGAGGGCCTTACCTCCGAGGGCTGCCCTCGTAAGAGTGCGAGCTCCGATGTCCATCCGCTGCTCGCAGATCCGCCGCTCCCTCGCGCACTGGGGCGGATTAGCTCCTCCACCGACCCTTGAAACGTACGGGCATCTGCTCGAAAGGCCGCAGAATCAGAGAAACATGCGGCAGGGGAGGAATAGACGAGGAGGAGGTAGAAGACGAGCAGCCGCGCGAGACACGAAAGACGCTCTGACGGAAAAGCCATGCCTGGACTCTCGAATCCAGATCCGCTCTACAAGGCGCAGGTGTGGGCAAATGAATGTAAACTACGGCACCAGTGCGAACAGAACGAAATCAAGAGAAGAAACGGAGAGCGATGCACTGTAGGCTCCACAGAATCATGAATGGACACGGAAAAGCGCTTCGTCAAGAACCAATCGGTGCGCAGCTGCATGATGGATTCACATCGCAGGCCGGATATTAGCGGCATGACGAATCCGAAGTCACCACGTGGGATAGCAGCATAATGCCTCATACTCGCACAATGGTCCCCGATACCCAGATTTATATGAGCAGTACACTTCGACTATTTTAAACCGTGTACGTGCACAAAAATGGAGTCATATTTTGAGAAATAACTGTCGGTCGCAGATGGTGACCCATTTTCGAGTTTCCCCACCCCAGCCTCCCCCGCGCTGATTTTCGTGCCATTGGCCGGTGTTGATGCGGATATTGGGGAAAGTGCTGTGGTGGTGAACTCACTGTGGGCGCAAGACGTGACTCCGCTAGGAAGAAATTTGCGCACGGAAATGTGGGCTCCGCGCTCCGAACCCAGACACATTGAATGCGACACGCACAATTTCTTCTGAGATTCAAGTATATACTTCTTTCACTGCTGTGGCAACGATACGAAAGGTAGTAACAACTATTTGCAATGCAAACAGGCGCTATGCTGTGAAAAGGTAGGAGAGATAGCCAGTGAACTCGGAATTGTTTTTCGTTTCTGAAACCCAAACTGACCGCTTTGAACACAAAGAATTTGGGTAGACATATAGTCGCGCCGCTAATGTGTGCGACCAGCCCTTGTTGGAACCACAAGGGCTGAGAAGGTGCCACCACGAAGACTTCAAATCAAAGTACAGAAGCAGAAGTGCGTCGTTCAATGTTCTGCTTCAAAGTGTGTCTCTAGAGTTTCGTTTACCCTGTGAAAGCACGTCCACATCAGCTACCACGTTCAGTTTCACAAAAGCATTTGGTGCTTTTATCAGACTGTGCATCCAACAGGAAATTCCCAAGGTCAGCGAATGTAACTTGAGATGGCAGCAGAATGGCTCTGGCTGGAACCGTCGTGGCAGCCGTTCAACGATGGCAGTAGCGGATGGAGCAGTAGCGGACGAAGTGGCAGAAGCAGCAGCAGGAAGAGCGCGAAGGACTGCCGCTGCTTGCCGTCTGACCACACCGACTCGAACAATGAACCCAAGGAGGTGCGCTCGCGCCTTTCCCTCGCAAGCAACAAATTTCCAATCACCTCAGTCGCTAACTAGCGTAATGAGCCCGCAGCACCTTTCGCGGCGCGTTTACGGTCAGCACGATCGCGTTGCAAGCATCTCAGCGTTTACGCCACTCCCTCCCCCCCCCCCCCCCCCTCGCTTCGCGCCACACCTGGCAGGTGACGGTCGTCAGAACAAGGTTCGGTCCCATTCACGTGACAATCGTTGGGGATAGGAGCAAGCTGCCGCTTATCACGTATCACGACATTGGCATGAACCGTAAGTCGGTCATTTCGAAAACAAGAGGCGGAAGAGGGGTGGGGAGGGGAAGAAAGGGGCGAACGTGGGCGGCAATGGGGAAGGGGTATTGGGGCACACAGTAATAAGCAGGCAGTGCTGCTTTCCACAATTCTGTCCGCGCTACGTGTCTCCCTCGCGCATTCACCCCTTCCGCCTTGCGCGCAGACGGGCTGTGCTTCGGTCCGCTGATGCGCTGCCCCGATACGGCGCCCATGCTCCGCCACCACTTCTGCTTCTTCCACATCGACGCACCGGGCCACCAGGTGCGTGGGTTGCGCCTCTGAGCGCTGATGCTCGTGTGTGGGGGGAAACAGGCGGGGGTAGCGGAGCGAAGAGCTTATTGTTTCTTCATTCTTCCTTTGGTATCAGTGTCAATGCACTACTACTGTGCATAGAGGCTGTTGACTCCGTGACGAAATTCCTTCCCACGCTTATCACCTTCTCGTTCTTCCCCCGGCTTCCCGCGCAGGACGGCGCGCGGCATCTGCGAGGATCCGCGTCTCACGGCACAGCGCAGGACATGGCGGATCAAGTTGCAGACGTCATCAACGCGCTCGGGTGCGCCATTGCTACCGCGCGCGCATGCCAAGCTTTCCCCGCGTCGCTGCGACTCGCGTGTGGCGGTCCGGGGCGAGGAGTAGCGAAAACGAGTCCCCGCGGTCCGCTGTCGCAGCGACGGGGCGTACGCGGGGGGGTGCGCTGCTGCAGCGCGCCAGCTTACGCTGTTTACATTTCTGCGGCGCCATTCGTTGCACCGCCTGTTGTGGCTTGCCTTGCCCCTCCCACCCTATACACCCGACAAATCCTCGCGTTCCCGTCCCTTCCCTTCCCGTCCCTCCCCTTCCCTTCCCTTCACTCCCTTCCCTTCCCTTACCTTCCCGTGCCTTCCCTTCCATTACCTTCCTTTCCCTTCTCCGCCTTCCCTTGCCCGGCGTTGCGCCCATTCCCCACGGCCTGTGAGCAGGTTGATGGACGTGACGTGCATGGGCGTGACAGCGGGCGCGTACATCCTCACGCTGCTCGCGGTACGCTCGCCTCGCCTCACCTCCCATCGCCCCTCTTTTGCTGCTCGCTTCCTTGCCCCCTTCCGCCTTCCAAGCCTGCGTGTGCTCCTCGTGCAACCTCACCCCCCGCGCCACTTGCTATTGATGTGCCTCCCACCCCCCCCCCCCCACCTTCCCCCGACTCTTCCCCTCATCTCCCCGTCTCCCCGTCTCCCCGTCTCCCCGTGAACCCCTCCCTCTCCCACGCGCCAGCTGCGCCATCCGTGTCTCGTGCGCTCGCTCATCCTCATCTCGCCGCTCTGCCGCCCCCCATCCTGGGCCGAGTGGGGCGCGTCCAAGGTATGCCGCCCACAATCTGCCGCCCCTGCGCTGCGAGTCACGTGCTTGCATCGAACGGTCCTCACGCACGATCACCCTCCCACACGCTGTATTTTGACGAAACATGCTCCAGGTTAACCACTTCCTCCGCCCTCTCCCGACTCCCACCCCGCGCGCACCCGGTGCGCTGCAGGTGCTAGTGTCGTCGCTGTCCCTGGTCGGCGCTGCTTCCGCCATTGCCTCCGCGGCCCTCATGCAGCGATACGTCCCTCTCGCCGTACGTCCCCCCTGCTGTGCGCCCCCCCTGCTGTGCGGCCCCCCTGATGTGCGGCCCCCCTGCTGTGCGTCGCCTTTTTTGCGCTGCTCGCGCGTGGTCGCTGCACGCAGCGCGTCGTTGGGTTGCTCAGAGATTATCCGGTCCGCACAGCGTGCACGCGTCCGCGCTGCCATGGTCGCCCACGGTTTACCACGCACGCGGTGCGGGATGTGCCACAACCTCCGTCCGTCCTGTCACTGAGTCTCCTATATTTGTCCTTCTCCTTCCTCTCCTACCTATCCCCCCTCCACTCCCTCCCCTCCGTCCCTCCCTCTCTCCTTCCGTGCACGACAACCGTTCTCCCCTCATCCCCACCAGCAGCGCGCCAAGCCCAATCAACGGCCGTCCACCCCACAGCTCTCAGCCATTCAAGAGGTACGCCTTGCCATGCCACGCCATGCCATGCCACGCCATGCCATGCCATGCCATGCCATGCCATGCCATGCACTGCATGCCAGTGCTGTCGATGCCGTACATAACTCACGCCCGCACACGCAATTGCGTGTTTCCGTGCACCACGGTGTGCGTGCTGCTGGAAAGTCCTCGGTGCGTGGTTGGCCTCCACGCCCATGCTCTCTCTCGCCTGCCCCAAACCCTCTCTTCGCCTCTTGTACCCACTCCGTGCTGTTTCGCGTGTGCTTGGATGTGTGCCATGTGCATGTGTGCCTGCCATGGCCACATGGGCACCAACAGGGCATGCGGGGCATGGCAGCAGACGGCATGGTGCAATACATTCGAATCATGGACCAGTGAGTGCCAACATGCCATGTATACAATATCCTGCACCATGCGCGCACGCGCCACACACTCCTCTCTGCTCCCGTAACACGCGCCATGCGTGCCATGCATGCGCTTCCTTGCACTCATCCCTCTCACATCCTTACGTGACATCCACATCACACTCCCTCACTCCCACCTACCTTCTCAATGTCCCTCCTCTTCCAAACGGTTTCGCCCACCTGCCATTCTCTCCCCACTAAAAGAAATCTCTTCTTACCTCCCCTGCTCTTCCCCCCTCCGCCCCCGGGCCGTGCTGTGCGCTAGGCGCAAGGACCTGACGATGCAGCTGGCGGGCATGCGGTGTCCGTGCCTGGTGGTGGTGGGCGAGATGTCGCCCTTCAGAGATGACGCCCTGCACCTGCACGCCCACCTGCCCCGCCGCCTCGCTGCCTGGTTCCAGGTACCTGCTCCCATCGCCATGCCATGTTGTGCCATACTGTGACTATGCCATACCCATGTTGTGTCCATGCCATGCCCATGCAATGTGTCCATCCACGCCAGTCAACTCCCTCCATCCCACACTAAACCTCCTGTAGCCTCTCCACCCATCGTTCCTCCCTTCATCATCCCGCCTCATGCCTCCCTCCTCTCCCGCTCCACTCCCCTCCCCTCACGCGCGCCCATGCACGGCAGGTGCCAGCGAGTGGGACAGTGGCAACAAGGGACTGTCCGCACCGACTGCTCGACCCGCTCCACAAGTTCCTCTCCTCCTGCGGCTACTGCCTCTCCTGCCCCTCCTGCTCCCCCCCTCCCCCTTGCCCCTCCTCCTGCCCACCACCCCCTGACACCACAGCACCCACGCTCCTCCACGCCTCCTCCTTGATCTCCTCCCCTTGCTCCTCCGTCTCTTCCCTCTCCTCATCCTCCTCCTCGTCCTCCTGCTGCTGCGCCTGCCTCTGCTCTCTCTCCTCATCGCCCCGCACACCCCTCCCCCCGACGTTTCGCCCAGAAGACCTGTCGCTAGCAGCGCATGGCAGCAAGTTAAAGCCCATCCGAACGCGGTGGGAAGGCAGAGGGGGGGTGAGCAGCATGGTTGCGGGAGGTGCGGTGCTGCAAGTGTGCAAGGGAGGAGGAGGAGGGTGCCAGGGTGTAGGGAGGCCGCAACTGGCGTGGTGCTGATGGGTGCCAGGAGGAAGAAGGATAGGAGGCAGTTGAGTTTTGAGTAGACTTAAAACGGTTTTGCTGGGAAAAGGAGGGGAGTGGTCTGTTGTGAGAGCTCAGAGGCCGGGGAATAAGCAGCGGTGTTGACGCTGCAGGCCAGAGCAGCATGCACAGCAGTCGCACTCCCACGCCCTCTCACACACCCACACACACACACGTGCGCACGCGTACACACACATGGTGCTATTCTTCCACAAGCTGGTGCTATGCTCTCCTACTAGATCCTTAACACGCACATGGATGCATGCTCGAAGACGAGCACGCGCAATACCATTCATTGACAATAGCTCCGTAGTTGAAATTGTGTTGCCATGGATTTGCCTAACCTTGCTCTCTTCAATGCCACGTAGTGGCTGTATCCATTACCGTACAAGTGTAGTCTGCTTTTATGGGAAGCAATGCCATTCCAGAATTGCAAATAAACCACAGGCTCACAAGCTGAAGCCTACATACCATCTGTGCCCTCTATGCCGTGAGAATGTGACCTGGAACAGGCTCAAGGAATTGAGCCCCCCCCCCACAGTCGATTGGTGCTGGTGCTTACTACTAGAGGCAAAGGGCCGATAAGCCACATTCCCATTGCAGGCTCCACCTTCGCTCTTAGACTTCTCCAGTATTGAACCACAAGATGGCACTGTTGGTATTTCCCGGGCCAAGTTGTTCAAAGCTAGGAAGGTTGGTTGGGGCGAGAGATGCTATTGGCCTAGATTTTGGGTAAACGGGGCACACTCAACCGAAGTTAGGAAGGTTGAACTAATTCGGGCTTTCTTGGCCCGCGGGTTTTAAGAATCAACTTTATCATAAGGTTCAGGGAATGCACAGAGAGAGACGGCTTCAGCGGCACGTGGCATGCACTAGCGCAGCCTGGTGAGTGCGGTGGCAGCAGCAGTGCGCCTGGCAGCCTGGGCGTCAAGCAGAGAGCATGCCGTCCCCGGTACCAGTGCACTCGCTGCTGCCACCGCCACCACCCGCCCCTCCACCTCCACTGCTGCTCGCACCACCTCCACCCTCCCCGCTGCTGCTGCTGCTGCTGCTGCTGCTGCTGCTGCTGCTGCTGCTGCTGCTGCTGCTGCCTGCTCTCCCTGCTTGCCTTTCTCCTTGCTCGTGGGATCCTGTGCCTGCCCCTTCTCTCCTGATTCTGCTGCTGCTGCCGTTGATACCGATGGTTCTGCTGATACTGCTGATGGCGGTGATGGCTGTGATGGTGAGTGACAGGAGTGGGGTACAAATGGCGGTGCCAATGGCGATAGTGCTGCTGATGATGTTGGTGGTGCTGTTCCGCCTGACAGTGGGACAAGTCCTGTTGATTGCAATCGTGGTACGAACTCTGGTGCTGATGGTGATAGCGATGATGACCGTGCCAATGTGGATTGGGACAACTGTCTTGCACACGCTGCTGCTGCTGCTGCTGCTGCTGCTGCCGGTGCTGCTGATGGTGCGACAGATGATGGTGGGGACACGGATGGTGCAGCAGTCGACACCAACCCATGGTCGGGCACCCCATGGTCGGGCACCCCATCGTCGGGCACCCCATGGTCCGGCACCCCATGGTCCGGCACCCCATGGTCGGGCACCCCATGGTCGGGCACCCCATGGTCGGGCACCCCATGGTCGGGCACCCCATGGTCGGGCACCCCATGGTCGGGCACCCCATGGTCGGGCACCCCATGGTCGGGCACCCCATGGTCGGGCACCCCATGGTTGGGCACCCCATGGTTGGGCATGTGCATGTGAGGTGGCAGGCTGGTCGGAGCGACGTGATGCGTGGTCATCTTGATCTGGTGGGTGGAACATCAAGGGCCATGGCACGACAAGGAGAATAGGCGAGTGTGGTGATGAGAGGAAAGCAAGGACGCACAATGACAGCAATAACTTCTGGCTCGGAATCATTCCAAGAAGAAGAAAAGACCAATCAAGCATCACCATGCCACAAGGCAGCACACACGCATGCCCCTTCCCCGCCCCCCCTACTTTCCCCACACACACACTCTTGTGCACCCGCCCATCCCCGTCTTCGTTAATTATTCCGTCCCTTCCCCCTTATCCCTGCCAATCCACCTCCTCCCCTCCCACCTACCAGTTGCTGCTCTCCCATCCCCCCCCCTCAACGAACCTGCAGGGACCACTTGTTGCGCGTGCACAGGTGCTGCAGCTCTGTCATTGGGTGGGGCGGGCAGGGGCACGGGGGGAACAGGGGGAGCAGGTGCGGGGCGAACACCTGCACCAGGCGCACACAGGGGGGGACGGGGAGAGGGGTTGGGGAACGAAGGAGGAATATAAGTATGGGGTACACAAGGCGATATCTTCCCTCTCCCTTGCTCCCTCCCCAGTTCCCCCTCCTTCTCGCGCTTCTGAAATGAAAACGGGTACATACTATGGCACGGTTCACACCCATGCGCCTATGCAGCTGCATGCATACCTGCCAGACAGCAGCAGCGTGTGAGTGGGTGTCCAGAAACACAGCGCCTGCCAGCGCCTGCACCGTCTCAGACAGTGCTCGAGGGGCGCTCACCACCCACTGCACCTCCCCGCCCTCCACTCCTTCTGCTCCCCCCTCTATTTCCCCTCCCATCGCTCCCTCCGCCCAAGCCCGCCCTTCCGCTCCTCCTCCCCCCTCCCCACTGCTCCCCCCACCGCCTCTTTCCCCAGCTCCGCCACCCCGTCCCCCGGTTGCCAAGCCTGTGCCTTCCACGGGGGGGGGTTCAGTGAGGGAGGCGCAGAAGGCAGCGATGTGGTGGGCGGGGAGGGGGGAGGCGGTGCGCATGTGGCGGTGCAGACCCCATGTGACGGCCAGCGCTCCCAGGGACTCGTGCGATACCACGTGCTGTCGTGGTGTTGTGCCGTGCCAGTTTCACATGCGGAAGATCATGGGGGGGCAATGGTAAGGCGTGAGAGAAGGAGATCGACAGAGGAGAGAGATTGGGCAGGTAGGCTGGAAGAACAGGAGAGAGAGCCATGACTCATGCCTTCAGTCCCATCCCACCGCACCACCACCCCAACCCACCCCACCGCACCCCACCCCACCGCATCACCTGCTTCAAGGCACTGACATGGTGCAGCCTGTTCCCGCCGTGCTGCCCCGTCCCCTCATGTGCGCCCGCTCCCACGAGGGCGTGGAGCACGAGGCAGTACTCCAGCACGGCGTTGCCCACACAGTACATGCGCTCAAACGTCCACTCACCCCCTGCCTCGCACAACCCCTCCCCCTCCAATCCCTCACGCCCCAACCCCTCCTCGCACAGTGCCTCCACGTGCAACCCCTCCTTGTGGAGCCCACCGTTCTCATCCTTCATTACCTCCTCCTCTCGCCCTCCCTCCTGCTTCCCTGCCTCAGCGGCCTTCTCTGCCTCCGCTTCCTGCTGCTGCCCTTGCCGTTCCCACCGCTTGCGCCGCTGCCACGTGTACCGAGCCTGCTGCCACATGTGCTGCTGCTGCTGCGGCTGCTGCTGCTGCTGCTGCAGCAGAAGAGAGGGGTGAGTGAGGGCCACGAGAAGCAGATCCTTCTTTGCAAACTCATGCCCCAGCGCCCTCTCAGCGCCCCTCAACCACGCCCCCTCCTCTTCCCGCCATTCGCCCTCGCCCACCCTTTCCGGGACTTGGACAAACGACTGGTGTGTGTGTGGATGCGAGCACACACACCCACACACCGCCCTCTCCTCCTCCCTGCTCCCTGCACCCTGTGCGCCCTCCCTCACCCCCTCTCCTCCCACCTCCCCCCCATCTCCAACTTCCTCTCGCTTCTCCTCGCGTTGCTTCTCGCTTCTACCCAACCCCACGGGCATGAGCCCATGGGAGCATGCACAGGGCATGGCGCATGCACCATGACAAGGCACAACGCCCATCCCACAGAGCACGTGTGAGGCTGCTGCCTCGCCCCCCCCACCCGCCAGCACTGCCCCCACCACAGACTCCACACTGTCTGCACACACTCCCTCACTCACTCGCACCGACGCACTCGCTGCCCACCACTCCCCTCCTCCTCCCCCACCACCCCCAATCGCCTGTCCCCCACCCAACAGCACTTCCTCACCGCCCCTGTCCCTCTCGCCCTCCACACATTGCTGCACCACACCCACCGTCGCCACATCATCCGAGCTTCTTCCCTCCTTGGCAGTGCACATGCACCCCTGCCTGCTCTCCCTGCTCTCACTTTCCCCATTGCCCTCACTGCTGCTATCTTTAACCACACCTAACCCCTCCCCACTCCACTGTCCCCGTACGCGCACCAGCAGCGGCCCCTCGTGCTCACAGCAGCAACCATGCACGCGCGCCCGCAAGAGTTCTGCCTCAGATGCCACGCTGTCAGCCAATGCCGGCACGCCACCTGTCGCTGCCCGCGTGTGGGATTGCCCCTCCCCACGAACGCCACTTGCCAGGTCAGCGCACTCTCCTCTGCCCTCCTCGCCCGTACCACCCTCTCCCCCTTCTCCCCCTTCTCCCCCTTCTCCCCCTTCTCCCCCTTCTCCCCCTTCTCCCCCTTCTCTCCCCTCTCTCTGCTCTTTCCTCCCCTCGTTCTCTCCCCAGTCTCTCCCCCACTGCTCGCAGCACCATCTTGCGCCTCCCCCTCCCTCTTCCCCTCCCCCTCCCTTTCCCCCTCCCCCTGTCCCCTGCGGCAGGGGCAGGGGAAGAAGAGAGGGGGAGAAGGGGAGGAGGCGGAGGAAGGGGGGGAGGCCGCAGGCACGGGCGCATGCAGCAAGGCAGCGGTTGGGGACCAGTTGCTGCTCGGGGGGGGGAAGGGGGAGAGAGGGCGGAGGGAGAGGGGGAAGGGCAAACAGGGGCCGGGAGAGGGGAATGGATGAAAGGGGGACTAGTAAGGGCAGGGAGAAGGATGGAATGGAAGAAAGAGAAGAGACGTACGGGCGAGTCACCCAAGGAAGAAAGTGGAGGGAGGAGCGTATATCAAGGGGCAACAAGATGAGGTTGATGGAGGCATGATGTTAGTGGTACGGAGCAACGTTCATGCACATGCGGGCACCCACTGCACAAGCCCGTCCCACCCACCTGCATCATGTTGCCTGCGGCGTCGATGCCAGCTGTGGGGTGCAGCAGCAGCACACAGAGCGCTGCCGCGAGCTTGAGAAACGCGTCTCCCAGCAGCTCCAGCAGTGGCCGCGCGATGGGCATGCATGAGGGGGAGAGAGCGGTGGGAGCAGGGGTGGAGGGAGGGATGGAGAGAGTGCTGGAGGGAGGAGCAGGGACGAGGAGGAGGGAAGTGGGGGTGGTGGCTGATTGTGAGCCGGTGTGTTGGGGTATGGGCAGTGGGGAGGGAGTGGGTGGAGGGGGCCAGGGGGGGTTGATGGTTCGGACATCACCGATGCATGCGGATGGGGCTGTGATGGCCTGCTTGCATGCCAGCACGGTGCAATGCCGTGGGCAGGAGCGCAGGAGAGGTGGAGAGCGGGAGGGCAGAAGGGGAAAGGGCGGGAGGGCGGGAAAGCAGGAGGGTAGGGGGGCCAGGGGGTGGGATAATATGGCAGTTGAAGGTGAGCAAGTGTGGGCATCTTGCGGCAGCAGCACTGACACGCGTGCATGGCATAACACTTGAGAAAAGGTGCTCACCCAGCACCCTGTGTGAACATGACTGCCATTCAAATAGACGCTTAGCGGCATTCCCCATTCTATTTCGAAAGGGCTACATCCTACGCGCATAGTCCCTTTTCGCCCCCTATCCTGCCCTCTGGCTTCCGGTCACTCTCATTAACTCGTTTACCCCCACCCGAACGCACCGTGCGCAGCAGAGGCAGGTGCAGCGAGGGCAGGTGCAGGGAGCAGGCGAGCTCCCAGGCGCACAGCAGGTCCGCGAGGTGGCAGAGCGTGAGCGGCAGCACCGCTGCTGCCCGCACCCACGCTGCACTCACTGGGGATCTGCTGCTGCTGCTGCCACTGGCCACGGGGGCGGGTGGAGGGGCCGGCGCGGGAGCAGGGCTGCTGCATGTGGTGGTGGCAGTGGTGGGTTGGTGAGCGTGTGAGAGGAGCAGCGAGCAGAGCTCCGGAGGGACCACGATGCGGCGACAGAGGGACGGTGGGGTGGAGGAGGATGGGGCAGGCGGTGATGCCATGAGACGCGTGATGGTACATGCCTGATGGGAGGGAAGCAGGGGGGGAGGGGGGAGGTGGGACGGAGGGGAGAGAGCAGTGGAGATTAAGAGGTGGAGTGGAGGGGAGGGAAGGACGAGCAGAACATGTGCACACAACGTGAAACGGGGGGCACATTAGAATGGTGTGCGTGCCAGATGCACAATCTCTGACAGCAGCGTGCTCCCTTCCTTGTGCCCAATCGCACCCCTCACACCCCGCACACCCCTGGCAGCACTTGCCTTGGGCGCGGGCACGAGTTCCAGCAGGGGTTGGTGCGGGTGGTGCAGCAGCACGCCGTGCAGCACGCAGTAGTCCCCGTCGTACCACGTGCTCTGCCCCTTCCTCACGCCCCTCCTGCCCTGCCACACCGCACTCGCTGCCTCGCCCTTCACATCCTCCTGCTGCTGCAGAGGCGACTTCTCGAGGTCCCCGCCTCCCTCAACACGCTTGTTATCACCGGTTGAAGCTGGTGCTGTGTGGTGCAATGGGGTGGGGGGCTCAGGGTGGGCCCTGAGAGCTTGCACCAGGAAGAGGGAGGGAGGGAGCGGGTGCGAGTGTGGGAGGGCGAGGGCGACAGCACCGTGCATCACCTGCCGTGCACTGAAGCACCCATTCGCCAACATAACTCCCCCCTGCTCCTCGCCCTTTCCTCTCCCCTCCCGTCCTCCTCGCTCCGCACCTCCACTTCTCTCCCCCCGTCGTCTCTCCTCCCTTCCTGTCTCCTCCGCCCCATATAAGACCCCCTTCACCTCCTCCCCTGCCCTGCCCATGAAACATCTTTCACTGTACTCTGGCTCATGCAAGTACACCCCCCTTTCGCTCACACAGCCGGGCAGCTGAACGGGCAACTGAGAGGAATGGTTAAGTGGCAGCACTAGGAATCCGGGCAGCCATTTCATCCCATGCTGCTCTGCCCGCCCCTTCTCCTTCCCCTGCGGCCAGCCACACGACTCAGCGCTCCCTTCTTCCCCCCGGGGTTGCTTCTCACAGCACCTACAATCCCCTCTTGCCTCGTACGCTCCGCCTTTCGCCTCATTGCCCTTTTCCTCCCTCCTGCTCTCCCCTCCCCTTTCGCTCCCTCCACTCCCTTTTTCACCCCCCCCGCTCGTGCCTCCGTCCCCCTCTCCGCCATCGGCGCTGGGGGCAGCGCGCGGAGGGGCGGGGGGGTGGAGGGAGTGCGCGTGAAATCGGAGGGCGCGCGAGATGCACGCGCAGCACAGGGCGACAGCGCCAGCGGGGAGCAGGCGCGGGGAGAGGCACAGGCTCCGCGTGTGGGGGAGAGGGATGGCGGCGGGCAGCGGTGACGTCAGCATGGAGGGCGGGAGGGGATGCGCGGAGAGGAGGACGCAGGAGGCGATGAGGGGAGGGGATTGCGCGGAGGCGGGTGTTGGGAAGAAGCAAGCGCATGCCTCATCCTCCTTCTGACGCTCCGCGGAGGTTTCCGCGACCTTTCCGCCGTTCCTGTCCGCCCACTCCCACGATACCGCGTGCGCATGGTACGAGTGCCGGCATGGCATACAGGGCGGGGGCGGTTGCGCCTGGGGGAGGGTCGTCCCAGCGAAGCGGAGGCAAGGCCGCAAGGACTCTTGGGCCGAGCGCGCATGTGTGGAGCTGCCATGTTCCGTGCGACGCGGGGACAGGGCGTGCGGCCATCGCTGCGGCGTAAATCGCTCCAACGGAGGTGGACGTCGGGATGTGCGACCCATGACGGCGAGTGATGCATCAGCGGTGCAGATTTTGGTGGCGGGCTTTATCAAGATATCCTCGATTGGTACTGACGCGTGATATTGTACGCGTAGCATTGGGACAACCGTAATCGGTACACTCAAATTTATCCCACTTAATGTGAACACTGCTGGTTGAACAGAGCTTGTCCTCACAAAAGAACACCCAGGAGTGCTGTGCTACCATCCAGTAGCATTCAAGCACGTTATTACCGTATGACACAAGGATGTTCATGTAAATCAATGTAGCTACGGTATGTACTTCCTACTGAGATAAGACAATATGGGAAAACTAAATTCCTGGAATAAGTCGGCAAGAACTGATATGGCCTTCCTTAGGCATAAAAACAAGCTTGCTAGTTGTTCAGTATGGTGGTGGGTCTGATTACAATGAACCTTATTAGAAGGGTGGCAAACTGCATATGTTTGCACCCCAAGTTAGGTGAAAATCCTAGAGCGAACTAAGAATCCGAAGGGAACAGGTATCCACAGAACGACTATAGTGGTCATGTACCCCAGTAGTACCATTACTCATAGCATGGAATAGCCAACCCGACTCATCATCACACCTCCACTCCACGTGCACTCACGGCCGGTGAAGAGTGAGAGCGAGAGCACGGTGTGGCATGTGTCGCACCTGCTGAACCTGCCACACTCACCCCACCTGCACCTGTCGCTGACAAGGTTGACTGTGCAGGGGTGCTGGGAGGAGCTGCACCCTGGGACTCAGGCACGTGGGCTGTGGACGATGTTGGATGATGCTGTTGAATCGTGTCACGTGCTTCAGCAGCGGGCAGTGCAGCAACAGTGTCAAGATCAGGATCCATGTATGCGGCTACCCGGCGATGGAAGGAATCAACCTGCCGGGGGGAAGCAGGTGAGAGTACATGCGTCGCATGAGGCAGTGAGAAGGCAATGTACAGGCATGCGACTTGAAGAGAGGCACAGTGAGGGAGTGGAGCACGTCACCTGTGAGTTGAGAGCATTGAAGAGCTCGGCCACATGTGCCAGCCTCTGCCTGTGCAGCTCCTGACACCGCTCATCCTCTCCCCGCACTTGCTCCAGCTGCACACACCACAACACCACAGCCACGCCAGTTGGTGACGGCAGCACGGAGAGATAGACGTACAGCATGCAGGGCCGATACAGATCAGACATCAGACGCACGAGGATGCAGCATGCGTGGAAGGTTGGTGCCATGGCACACAGAGGGATGGGCGTAGGGCAGGATGAGGGTGAGAGAATGAGACACACCTGGCCGTGCACCTCTGCCTTGGCAGCGAGGAAGAGCTCCTCCTCCTCTGCCAGCCCCTGCTCCAGCACACGCACGTCCTCCTGCTTCCTCCGCACCTCCACCATCTGCTGCTCTATGCCTGCCCTGCGCGCTGCCACCTTCGCCTTCCACTCCGCCTCTGCTCACAGCACGCACGACGATACACAGAAACCACACTAAAGCAGTGACAGATGGAGCGACAGCACAGCAGTTGCCATGGTGAACAGCAGCAGCGCACACAGCAGCCACAGGGTGGAAGCATAACTGCTCCCAGGAGCTGAGAACCACCACACCCACATGTAACGCCAAGCCAAACCCACGCCATGCATGCCAGAAACCAGCACGGCCTCTCACCTTTCACGCCCTTCCCCTCACCTTTGGCCTTCTCCTTGCTGACCCTCTCCTCCGCTGCTGCCTGCAGCTGCCGCGCTGCTGCTCCTTGCGCCTGCCGTGCAGCCACCTGCCGCTTCAGCTCTCGCGCTGCTGCTGCCTGCACGGCAAATTTCACGCGCGCACACAGCGACAGGAGGTGAGATGGGCCACGTGCACAGTCAAGTAGGTGCAAGGCAGAACATGGCATGGTAGTTCATGGCGTGTATCAGAACGGGAACGAGCACGGAAGAGCATGCATTTGGTGGAAGGTGGGTGAAGCACTGACCTCTTGATCTGCTTGCTTGACCTGCTGCAACCGGCTCTGAAGCTCCGCCAGGGCCTGCACAGGTATACACGGCAAGGAACGGGCGAGTGTGTGTGCGCGTGTGCGTGTGTGTGTGTGTGTGTGTGTGGGCGGGCGGGTGGGTGCATGTGTGTGTGTGTGTGTGTGTGTGTGTGTGCACGTGTGAGTGAGAGAGAGACCGAGAGAGAGAACGAAAGGGTGAGAGGAGGGGAAAGGAGAAGAGAGAGAGCAGGGGAGGGGAGAAGGTGCAAGATGGAGCATAATGAAGAGAACAGGAAGGCAGACATGGGCATGGGCATGGGCATGGGCATGGGCATGGGCATGGGCATGGGCATGGGCATGGGCATGGGCATGGGCATGGGCATGGGCATGGGCATGGGCAATTGGCATGGGCCATGGGCATGGGGCATGGGCATGGGCCATGGCAATGGGGCATGGGCATGGGCATGGGCATGGGCATGGGCAGGGGCATGGTGAATGGGCATGGGCATGGGCATGGGCATGGGCATGGGCATGGGCATGGGCATGGGCATGGGCATGGGGCATGGGCATGGCATGGGCATGGGCATGGGCATGGGCTGGCAATGGGCATGGCATGGGCATAGGGCATGGGCAATGGGCATGGTCATGGGCATGGGCAATGGGCATGGGCATGGGCATGGGCAATGGGCATGGGCATGGGCATGGGCATAGGGCCATGGGCATGGGCATGGCATGGGCATGGGCATGGGCATGGGCATGGGCATGGGCATGGGCATGGGCATGGGCATGGGCATGCATGGCATGGGCATGGGCATGGGCATGGGCATGGGCATGGGCATGGGCATGGGCATGGGCATGGGCATGGGCATGGGCATGGGCATGGGCATGGGCATGGGCATGGGCATGGGCATGGGCATGGGCATGGGCATGGGCATGGGCATGGGCATGGGCATGGGCATGGGCATGGGCATGGGCATGGGCATGGGCATGGGCATGGGCATGGGCATGGGCATGGGCATGGGCATGGGCATGGGCATGGGCATGGGCATGGGCATGGGCATGGGCATGGGCATGGGCATGGGCATGGGCATGGGCATGGGCATGGGCATGGGCATGGGCATGGGCATGGGCATGGGCATGGGCATGGGCATGGGCATGGGCATGGGCATGGGCATGGGCATGGGCATGGGCATGGGCATGGGCATGGGCATGGGCATGGGCATGGGCATGGGCATGGGCATGGGCATGGGCATGGGCATGGGCATGGGCATGGGCATGGGCATGGGCATGGGCATGGGCATGGGCATGGGCATGGGCATGGGCATGGGCATGGGCATGGGCATGGGCATGGGCATGGGCATGGGCATGGGCATGGGCATGGGCATGGGCATGGGCATGGGCATGGGCATGGGGCATGGGCATGGGCATGGGCATGGGCATGGGCATGGCATGGGCATGGGCATGGGCATGGGCATGGGCATGGGCATGGGCATGGGCATGGCATGGGCATGGGCATGGGCATGGGCATGGGCATGGGCATGGGCATGGGCATGGGCATGGGCATGGGCATGGGCATGGGCATGGGCATGGGCATGGGCATGGGCATGGGCATGGGCATGGGCATGGGCATGGGCATGGCATGGGCATGGGCATGGGCATGGGCATGGGCATGGGCATGGGCATGGGCATGGGCATGGGCATGGGCATGGGCATGGGCATGGGCATGGGCATGGGCATGGGCATGGGCATGGGCATGGGCATGGGCATGGGCATGGGCATGGGCATGGGCATGGGCATGGGCATGGGCATGGGCATGGGCATGGGCATGGGCATGGGCATGGGCATGGGCATGGGCATGGGCATGGGCATGGGCATGGGCATGGGCATGGGCATGGGCATGGGCATGGGCATGGGCATGGGCATGGGCATGGGCATGGGCATGGGCATGGGCATGGGCATGGGCATGGGCATGGGCATGGGCATGGGCATGGGCATGGGCATGGGCATGGGCATGGGCATGGGCATGGGCATGGGCATGGGCATGGGCATGGGCATGGGCATGGGCATGGGCATGGGCATGGGCATGGGCATGGGCATGGGCATGGGCATGGGCATGGGCATGGGCATGGGCATGGGCATGGGCATGGGCATGGGCATGGGCATGGGCATGGGCATGGGCATGGGCATGGGCATGGGCATGGGCATGGGCATGGGCATGGGCATGGGCATGGGCATGGGCATGGGCATGGGCATGGGCATGGGCATGGGCATGGGCATGGGCATGGGCATGGGCATGGGCATGGGCATGGGCATGGGCATGGGCATGGGCATGGGCATGGGCATGGGCATGGGCATGGGCATGGGCATGGGCATGGGCATGGGCATGGGCATGGGCATGGACATGGGCATGGGCATGGGCATGGACATGGGCATGGGCATGGGCATGGGCATGGGCATGGGCATGGGCATGGGCATGGGCATGGGCATGGGCATGGGCATGGGCATGGGCATGGGCATGGGCATGGGCATGGGCATGGGCATGGGCATGGGCATGGGCATGGGCATGGGCATGGGCATGGGCATGGGCATGGGCATGGGCATGGGCATGGGCATGGGCATGGGCATGGGCATGGACATGGGCATGGGCATGGGCATGGACATGGGCATGGGCATGGGCATGGGCATGGGCATGGGCATGGGCATGGACGAGCGAGAGGATGTCCTAAGTGTGCTCACCTTTCTGACAACAACCAGCTTCTTGCGGTTCTCCCGCATCTGCACCAGCACCGCATCCCTTGCCTCCTTCTCACTCTCCATCGCTTCCTCTGCTCGTGTCACTGCTAACTGCACGCACACGTACACACGCGCGTGCACACGGGACCAGACATAAGCGGGCAGAGTGACAACTGAAAGCTCAGAAAATGGGCTTACGTGGACGTGAGCAGGAGAGCGCAGAACGTGAGCAGGAGGGCACAGTACACAAACAGAAGCACTCACTCTGACTTTATCCGGCGACTCCACTATCTGTGCACGCAAACTCATCTCCTCCTCCTTGACCTTCGCCGCCTGCTGCTTCTCCGCCGCTATCTGCACACACAACACCACACCGCACCGCACCGCAACACACCACAGCATGCGCCACAGCCATCACAAGTGAGCGCGCGCTTAGCAGCCCCCTCCGAGAAGCACGCCCATGGAGAAAAGGGGAGCAACAGGGCTGTACAGACACGAGCGTCACAGGCACAGCTCACAACGGCCAAATCCAGCCCTACTAAACATCCTGCTTGCCTCATCCATGAGTTTCGCCATGGCCTCCCTCCGCCACGCCAGCTGCTCTTGCTCCGCCGCCTCTTCCCCCTGCACCCGCTGCAGCTCCTTCTCCATCACCGCCACCTCCTCCGCCACCTCCGCCACCTCCGCGTCCTCGTCGCGCTGCCGCTCCTCCAGAGATTGCAACTCGCTGGACAGCTGCGGGGCGGGCAGGAAGGGGGAAGAACGGCATTGCGCGACGGTGACCACAGGGTACGGGGTACACGGGGCACGGGGCACGGGGCACGGGGGAACGCGAAAAAACGCTGGAGGAGGATGGGTACGCGGGTTTGGTGTGACGCGGGTTGAGATGGTGGACAGCCAAGGAAGCGCAATGCTGCAGTGACATATATTTAAGAGAAAGCAGAGGGACGCGTAGCGTATACCGATAGTTCTTCGTCTTCGAGCTTGGCGTGCGTCTCAACGACCTGCGCGTATTCCTCCAGGCATTGCGCCTCCACGGAAAAGAACTGGTCCCTGCAACGATAGCCACGTAACCACCACACGCATGCTTATTGCGGACCCAGAGACACTGACTTTCGACCGTCTGATGACGCCAGCGCTCAAACAGACATGCTTAGACCGTCGCCGGATGCACCTACTAAGAAGCTACGCATGATGGTGAAAATATGGCGAGGCTTTCGGTACGGCAGTTTGCATGGGGTGTCAGATAACGTGCATGCGAACGCACCCGAAGCGCTTGTAGTTGGCGAGCGCGGAGAGCAGCTTCTGGGTGCGCTCGGGATCCGGCCGAATTAGGTCGCGCATCGCGAACCACTCGACACCCGTCCCCGCGAAGAGTTCCCGGAGTGACTGGAAGAGGAGGAGAGTACTGGCGGCATCTACGTGCAACTCAGGGAAGTCCAGGTTCCGCTCCGCTTCCTCCTCATTCATGCACGCGCCGTCGCTGGGGAGGACGGCTCTAAAAGGGGGACATGGAGCAGATGTGGAGCGGGATGGAGGGGAGGCGCCGGGCCAAAGAGGATGAGGCGAAAGACATGGGAAAAACGGATGAAGGGCGTCGGTGAACTTGCTATATGAATCTTACTTGATGGGCGGCTAACTCATAATTGCTATCACCTACCGGCCCACTAATACGCGAATTGCCGCGTCGTAGAAGAGGCGCATGACTTCTGGCGTGGGCTTGGCGATGTCACGCTCCGTCAGCTTGTAGATCGGATCCAGACATTGCTGTAGCTGCTTCGCATCCAGCATAGGCGACGAAAACTGTACCATGGCTGCGTGATAGTAAGAAACCAGGAAAGTTTTTGAGTGATTTACTGGTTCGTATAATCCTGTTCAATCGTCGATTAACTTCTGGCTAAACGACCTTGGTGACAAGCGGTGTGCAAGTATGACAAGCGATGTCGCGTCCAAGTAACAAACCTAACATCCACAAGCTATGCAACGAGTGAGTGGAGCCGTTAGGGTTCTCGAATCCTCAAAAAGTCGACAGCACTTGTCTGGAGTTCTCGAGGTGCTCGGAGTTGTCAGTAGGGGATCCGGGTGGCACTGGTGTGGTCCCACGCACAGCAGTTGCGAGTAGCTTCACACATACGCTTGACGGCCTTCGCCCAGCCAAGTTTGATGGTGGCAGGTTTGGCAGGGTTTGGGCGGGAACTTTCAAGCTTGGCGCCAGATTTGTATTTGATTTCTGACCAGTCGCGAGTTGCTGGAGCCTCTGACAAGTGAAAAGCCATCGGGGTCATCAAGCTAGGACAGTAACGAACGAGGATAACGGATGATACACCTTTATCAAAATATGAGAATAACATAACATTCTCCCGACATCTCCCTTGCTGACTTTCGAGTAACAATGTAGTATGAATGGGGTCAGGAACAGCAGATACGATTGACACACGTTGATCAGACATTTATGGATCATAATAAATGTTATACTATTTTTTGTAGTAATCGCAATAAAACATTGTATACATGGCCAGATAGGGTAAGTAGTTCTTCAACAGAGCAGACAGAGCAGCGTACGGTATTATTCGGTTCTATATTCACGCCAAACTGGTTTTCAGCATTGCCATATCTTGCCGCATCTGCTCCTCCATCGTGGCTGCTTGTTCCTGCAGCATCGTCACAAAAAAAAAAATATCTTTCAGAACCATTTGCCACTGAGAAAAGCAAGCATGGTGGTAAGCCAATGGGGACATCAGGATGGCAGAAAATTGACAGGTAGTCACGCCTCATCTAACGACGTGAGACAATGGAGAAAAAATGTACCTCTAGACGGCAAAGCCGCCACTCCATCTGTTGTTGCAGCATGTCACGCACGGTGGATCCGTGATGCGGAGAAGGGCGTATGTGCACGCGGACGATCGTAAACGGGCCGAACCGAATCTCATCTCCATCAGACAGAGGACGCTCGCGACCTGCAGCAGGTATAGCGTGGAACGAGAAAGAAACCCGACGTGTCGCGTGGCAACAAAAAAAGAAAATCAATCCATATCACGGGCACAACCCACTGGTTCAGTAATCCTATCAAACTAGCTGCGTTGAAGGCCAAGTGCTAGCACCTTCTGGCAGATGAACGCCGTTGAGTGACGTTCCGTTCGAGCTTCCTAGATCGACGACGCGCCAACTCCTATCAGCTGCGTCCCACGACACACAGGCGTGTTTCTCAGAAACCTGATAGGGAGAAACAAGTTGCCGAACAGGAACTAAATGATAAAGGTTCGCTTGGATCATAAGCTGCTGAGGCGGTTGGTATGGCACAGGCAATGCTTACGGCATCTTCCTTCAGCGGAATCTGGCAGGTCTTCACTCGTCCCACTCTAGAACTGCTAGCAGTTACAGAAATGGTGGACGGGCAGCAAGGGCCTCCCACCACTTCCAGCACCAAGAGGTCACGGCCACCATCACTCGCTAGCTCTGGTTGGCAAGCATCCCCCGTTGAACCTCGCTTCGCCTGCGCAGCCTTGCCTCTGCCTCCTGCCATGCTAACTTCGCAAGGATATAATCAACTACTCGACGCAGTATTGCTTCAGTAAATTCCACACGGGGTTGTCAGTACGCGAGAGCTGTGGCCGAAAATGTTTATGGGAGGTGGTTCTGTATGCGAGGAACTGATGGGTCTCGGCAATGACACTTATCGGCAATGACACTTATCCCCGCTTCAAGCCTTTCTCGCTTCGCCAGGCTTTCAGGAGGGAAGCATGGCGAAGCGAGAAAAGCTTGAAGCGGAGATGGTTTGCGATAAGTGCAATCGTGTACAATGCGTGCACTAGATCAGGATATGGCAACACCTATACAAAGAGAACAAATAAAATTTATGTTAAGTAAGCAAGCACAATACATTTGAAGAACAAAGCGTCTATATATTGTTAGTGTGCATTGGTTATGCAAGCTTTATTTTTTCCTTTCTTTTGGGAACAGGCTTGGTTCTAAAATCATGTGGGTGTACATTACATCCACCCACGTATCCGGTATGCCTGGCAGGCACCAATGCGTGCAGTCCCCAGAAAAGGGTGACTCCCCTTGCTCCTGGGGTGAGTTTGGACCAGACTGGTCTCGACTGTGCCACCATACCCCCAGGTGTGCGTCCGGCCGCAATGCACTTATGCCAGTGACATCAAGGAAGCGAATCGGTGATCCCAGGAACAAACTCCTTTGTGCAGCCGCATATTCTTCTGCAGTGCTCAAGGAATCGGAGTACCTTGAGTGCACAAAGGTGCTTGAGGCAGGCATGCGAGCACCACAAGAACCCACCCATGCGGCTCCATCACTTTGCTCAACCCCAGGTTGTGTTTGACCAGCTCCTGCATGCTTTGGGGAGAAGGAGAGGAAGAAGGGGACTCCCGAGTAGTCTATTTTCTTGACGAAGGAGAGAACCGTGGACAGGGCCCATGTGTGAGCGGCGATGTTACTCAGGTTTCGCCGTGCCCCGTTCACGAAAAAGTTATTCGGAACTGTGCGGCGAGGGACGTTCTGCAGCCACCACACCCCCGAGTGGAAGACGACAGCAGAGTAGTTTCCCACCACGTGCTCCAGCACAGGGTCCATCTCATCCACGTAAACGTCAAACCCGTGCCCGCCCTTGCCGGCATCTTTGCCCGTGGCTTTGTTGTGGATGGAGCGGCGACTGGTGCGCACGATGTAGGGCGTGAAGTAGTACTCGAGGGAGAAGGAGAAAGCCGGAAAGTGGACTCCCTTGATGCTCCAGTCGCCTTTCGTTTTGCGCCTAAAAGGCTGCGGAGCAATGCCAGCCATTGGAGGGAAGGAAGCAGATGAAAGAGGAAGTCAAGGAGATTGTGAAGGTACTGCAAATCACGAGCGAAACCTTATAAGTTTCAGAAATCGCAGGAATTGTACACTCCATCCACGCATCCACCACCGTGTGTCAACATCGACCGCCAGTCATGCATGCAAGAGCAAGCAACCTCCAGGCTGGGCGACACTGATATCAAGCAGCACAGTGCGAGGCATGGCGCCGTACCTGTCCCTCGTACCCCGCGCTGCTGATGGAGCAGAGCAGCGCCTCGAAGAGGTTCGACATCATCGAGTCGCCCACCAGTAGCATCCGCTGCCGCGAGGACGAGGCGGGGGAAGCAATGGGGGAAATGCCCGTGGGGTCAACATGGTGCGGGTTTGACAAGGCAAAATAAGCTCTAAGAGATGTTGGTAACCAGTAAAAATACGGCGAATCGCTGCTGCTGGAGCCGCACGGAATGCTACAGGCGAAGAGCACATACAGCTTGAGATAGTGACACCATTCTTTTCGTTCCAATCCACGCGGACGCTCCAACCGGTAGCGGATATTGCCCATCCGGTAATGATCCCAGGGGAATCGAGCCCGCGGCGGGGCGGTCCAGCTTACCCGATCGCGCATGAGAAATCGGAAGCCGGACGAGGAGAAGTAGCTGATGGGGCAGTCGAACGGCTGCCACCGGTACTCGCGGTACCGCAGGTCGGGCCGGTTGTTGCGCTCGCACGCGTACGACGACCGCGCGAACGGACACGATTTCGGGCGGCCGGCGAGAGTGGTGTAGCGTGGGAAACGCTTAGGGGAGCGTATCCACGCCCCGTTTGACAGGTCGCAGAGGTCTGCGGCACGGAGGCACGGGAAGGGGGATGACGATGGAACGGGTTAGCTGGCGCGTGGGCGACGAGAAAGCGACTGTACGGGGCAGGTGAGCGAGGGACGTCCGAGCTGGAGTGCCCTGAGATAAACACAACTCGCCTCTCGCCCCTTGACATGTCCATCTGAGGCCGAGGCACACAGGTGAGGGGCCTTCTTCCGTCTATCGCCCTGCTAGGTGAACATCTGAACCCGTTCACTGCGCTGCTGCGCCAGTTGCTAACACAGCTTTCCGGGTGATCTATGCTGGGCACACGTCGTCGCGTCGAGCCTCGACAAGGTAAGCTGGTGCGAGGCTCGGAGTGCTCACCTCGCTTGGGCTTCGGGGCAAGCGACGAGACGGCGGGAACGAGCAGACATAGCAGCAGAACGACGGAGCATGTCGGGAGTGACGTTGAATAGGGTACAAAAGAGATGCGGTATGGGGTACGTAGTCGCGGCCGGTACGAGGTGGCCATGAGAAAAAAAACATAAATTAGTGGCCTGAAGAATGGCCCTAAGATGGTGCTGTTGGTGGAGGAATGGGAAGGCTGTTAGGTGATGGGGGGAAACTCGACGGAATGCAAAAGAAGGCACTGTTGGTTGCTCTTTGCTCTGCTTCTTGATGTCGTAACAAGTGACTTTCGAATAAATTTGGTCGTCGCTGAGCCAATGGCGTTGGAGGCAACGCTTTTTGATTGGAGAATCACGGTCGTGGAAAAGTCGCAAAACTTCGCTTGTTACAAGGTGGGTTGTTCGGAACAGCCAGGAATGCCAAGACGGTACTGTAGATCAGCACACCCGTGCTCCGGGTAAGGACAGGCGGCAGCAGCACCAGCCAGTCAGCCGCTTGGCCAGGGAAGGGAAACGAGGCGACACGTGTGTCGCACATCCGATTCGCACTGGGGTGACACGAGACGAATGTGTTTGCGCGGGATGATGGTGAGGTGAGGTGTAAGGAGGTGAGGTGAGTTGAGTTGAGGGGAGGGGAGTTGATGGAATTGACGGACAGCGCAATGCTCTTCCCGAGTCGCGATGCACTCCATCAAAACGGACGTGCCTCGCTGCGCGCAGTCAACAATGAAGTGGTTGCCTTGAATTGACAGCATTAGACGCAATAATGTCACCACAAAAACAGAAGCGCACGCTTCCACAAACAAAATACATAGAGCGTCTTATGTCAAATTGTAAGGAAAATTCCTTTTCCTTACTTCGCGTCCCTGCTCAGCGCGTACACCACTGTTCCCACCCACAGCACCCAACAGTAATCCGTTACCACTCGCGACACTCGCTTCGACACCATTCCCGTCACCGTTCACGACGCGACCCAACCTCACGGTTCGGTTGGTAACCCGCGCTCCGGACCTCCGCCTCGACACTTTCCCAACCTCGGCACCAGGCCCGTCGCGCACCCCAATTTCCACACGTTACCGTTACCACTGGAGTTTCGCTATATATTCTTCGCTCATGCCTTCGCTCATTGTACTTTTGCTTCGATAGTGCAATTCTCGCTCGCTCACTCAATTGCACTCGTAACACTTGGTATTCAGAGCCTACGATCTCTTCTCGGACCGCACCCACACCTTCGCTTCCCCACTATCTCAATTTTTGGGGGGGGTAGACGTCTCTCAGCGACACAGCACCGCCGCTCGTAGTGCTCTCTCGTAAGCACGCACGGCCACGACCGAGGCTCTCGCTGAGCTTGCCCGACACCCCCACCATGGCCGAATTCAATCTCGCGACCTTGACGCAGGAGCAACTCGACCGTCTGGTGCGCCAAGTTGAAGATTCGGCACTCGAAATTGCGACGCTCACGGCGGAACGTGACTCCGCGCGTCAGCAATCTTCGGTGAACACTCCAGCAGCACCACACGCATCAACAAATGCACCTGCACAATCGGACGAGCCAATCGTCATCTCGTCCGGTACACCAACACAACACGACAGCGTGGGACAGCGCTCAGGTGCAGCCAGTGATAGCGCCGCCCCACCAATGCCCGGCATGGGAGGAAACAGGGTCGCGCCAAGCCCGCGGGAGCCTCGCGAAGCCCGTCGGCACGTGGAGTTTGCGGCGACAAGTGGCGAACAGGCCATTATAGCACCAACGCCACTCAAGCCGCAACGCCCGCCCTGCTTCGACCCGAGCCAGCGTGGAGGTCCGACGGTTCAATCGTGGGTCTTCACGATGAACGTCTTCTTCGACGCGAATTACGTCGAGTCGGACGCAGCGAAGATTCGGTATGCCGTTTCGCTGCTAAGGGGCCCCGCCATGGACTGGTGGCGAGTCATCGTGACGTCGCCACGCGCCTACGAGCCACCGTCGCAAGAGGAAGGGCCCACGGGTCCAGCTGTCACCTGGAGTTCATTTTGCGAGACCGCCTAATACAGCACGTGGGATGCGTGGTGCGCAGGGCTTCGGGCGCGCTTCGAGCCAATCGCGGCTTCTATTTCGGCGCGTCAGAGATTGCGCACTTGGCGGCAGCTCGGGTCGGTTCAAGATTACACGAGCGGTTTTCTCGCACTTTGCGAGCAAGTCGGCTACATGCACGAAGCGGAGCGGGTGGACCGTTACGTTGGAGGGCTGAAGCCGGATATCTCGCACGAGATCATGCTGCGCGGACTCTCGAACTTCAACGAGATTCTCGCGCTCGCCGAGAAAATCGTCATTCTACGCCGACCGAGACCGGGGTCCTACTACGGACATCGTCCTCGGGGACCGACCGAGCACGCCACTGTACACGCCGTTGCGACGAATGCAGCTGCTGCACCGTTTAAGGGGCGCTGCTTTGCTTGCAACAGGCCGGGCCATCGCAAGAGCGAATGCCCAGAGGAGCTGAGGCGCCGCGGAGCAGAGCAGGGGAGGGAGTCTCAGAGGCAGGGAAACGCCAGCAGTCAGTAGAAGTTGGGCCAACTACTGACGAGACTGCCTGCTCGCCCAACCGCACCGACCCTCACCGAGTCACAGTACCGATTCACGCTATCGATCGGGCTCGGATGAATAAGGAGGGTACAGCGACGGATTGCCCAGTACTGATTTACGGGAAAATACAGGGAGCAGCAGTGAAGATCTTTATAGACGGAGGAGCAAGCCACAGCTTAGTTAATACCGCAACCGCACGGAAGCTGCAACTGACACTTAGTCGGTGTTTACCGGAAATAGATGCACGCTTAGTGGACGGAACGCCGCTGGCCATACGGGAGAAGGTGGAGAGAATAAAGGTCCGCTGCGGGGGGAACTTTGGGTTTACACAGGAAATGCTCGCGACGACATTGGATGGGCACGACATTTTATTGGGACGTGATTGGCTGCGACGGTATAACCCGCGAATTGACTGGACAACGGGTAGCTGCACTGTGCGTAGTAGCGGTAACTGGGTCGTGCTACCTCGCTGGCAGTCGCCCGAGTCTTCAACAGTCCACGTCAACGCCATCACGATGAAACGGGCTGTCGCCGCTGGAGCTGACGTGTACGCAGTGGATATAGCATTGATAGGAGAAGCAGAGCAGCCAAGTGACTTTCAGAAACTGCTGGCAGCAGTACCGCCCGAACTGCAGGAACTGTTGAAACGGTGCCCGGGGATTTTTCCGGATGATTTACCGGAGGGACTGCCACCTCAGCGGGCGCACGACCATTGCATAGAGTTAGAACCGGGGGCACAGCCAACCGTACAGCGACAGTTCAGACTGACACAACCCGAGCTCGACGAACTGAGGAAGCAGTTAGATTACCTATTAGAGAAAAACTTCATCCGACCGAGCTCGTCACCGTTCGCCGCACCGATACTGTTCACACCAAAAAAGATGGAGGGTTTCGCATGTGCATCGATTACAGAGCACTGAACCGGGTAACAGTCAAGTCGCGATACCCCATTCCCCGCGCCGACGAACTGATAGACCAACTGCGAACAGCACAGGTTTTTTCGAAAATAGATTTACGGGGAGGTTACCATCAGATTAGGGTCGAACCATCAGACTGCGCCAAGACAGCATTTAGGACTAGGTACGGGTCGTTCGAGTACACAGTGATGCCATTCGGTTTGACCAACGCACCGGCAACGTTTCAGATGACCATGAACGAGGCGTTTAGACCACTGTTAGATAAATGCGTGATAGTTTACCTCGACGACATCCTCGTTTACAGTCGCGACAAGCAGCAGCACTTAGCCGATCTAGAAGCAGTTTTTAAGATTTTAGACGGACACCGCCTACTGACCAAGGGTTCCAAGTGCGAGTTCTTCCAGGATAGGTTAGAATTTTTGGGGCACGTAATTTCGGCGGCTGGGGTTGAAATCGACCCGAAGAAGCTGGACACGGTAAAAGCATGGCACCCCCCGACAAACATCACGGAGCTGCAGAGTTTTTTAGGGGTCGTTAATTATGTACGTCGGTTCGTCCCCAACATGGCACAGTTAACAGCCCCACTGACGGATCTGCTGCGGAAGGGGGTCACTTTTACGTGGGGGGAGAAAGAGCATGCTGCCTTCTCTGCCCTGAAAAGTGTTCTCTGTTCACCGCCCGTACTGCGCATCGCTGACCCACACCGCCCTTTCGAAGTAGTAACCGACGCAAGCGACATTTCCATTGGAGCCGTACTGCTACAGGATTTCGGCAACGGCCTACAGCCCATCGCCTACGAGTCACGAAAGCTGCATCCGCCCGAAAAGAATTACCCGATACACGACCGCGAAATGCTCGCGATCGTGCATGCGTTCAAGGTTTGGCGCTGTTATTTGACCGGCGCAGACGTGATAGTACGGACAGACCACAGATCACTACAGTACTGAGAAAAGTAGAACGAGAAATGAATGAACTATGAATGAAGTGAGTACATATGGGAAACCCTAATTGGGTTGTACCCCCTATGGGATACCCCACTATAGCCTACACAACAGCATAAGCTATATATATGTTCTGACACACCCCCATAGGCAAAGTGGGGGAGAACAAGGGGTCACAAGACCAGTCAAGCAAAGCAGAGCAAGCTCAGGGTGGATCACAAAGTCACCACACAGTCCGAGCACAACGACAGGGCAACAGGGCCAGTTCACATGCAGGAGTACACATATATATATAGAGCTAGACAAGCAAGAGCAGGTATATATATGTGACAGTACAAGCAAGGTCAAGAAGAGAGCAAGTGAGGCAAGACAGGTACAAGACCCAGCTGGGTGCAGAAGCGCTGATGGTCACAAGGCGCAAGTGCCTTGGTGAACACATCAGCAGTGTTGGCCTCAGAGGCCACGTACGCAAGTCGCAACTGACCACGCTGCTGCAGCTCACGAGCAAGAAAGTAACGGAGAGCAATGTGCTTCGTTCTGTGCTCCAAGCGCTGCTCTCGACACAAGGCCAGCATGGCCTTGTTGTCTACGTACAACACTGGAGGAGAACGAGGCGGCTCTCCAAGGTCAGTCAGCAGGTAGGTGAGCCAGCGAAGTTCCTGTGCAGCCATGGCCCCGGCGTAGATCTCAGCCTCACAACT